CACTTGTTTTTGTTTAGGCTGGAGTTACAGTTTGTGCTTGTTATCTGGCTGAGGAAGAATTCTGTGTTTTTGAGGGCCTGTGATAACAATGACTTGTTACTAATAACATTTTCTTACTTGGTAGATAATTACTCTTTCAGCCATTCTCGGCTTTCCTCTTCCTTCCCACGCATCCTCCTCTCCTTCACCCTCCCTGCTCTCTGCATCATTTCTAAAAACCCTGCACCATTGAACTGCTTCTTTTTTTTCCCATATGATCTTGTGATCCATTACTAGGTAGGACTGATTGATTGAGGATGAGTGGAAAAGAGCTCCGTTGTCTCCTATATCTCATTTTTTGTAATTAGTTCTGCCATTCTAGAAAAGGGGCTTTTAAATAAATTGAGCAATTTTGCTACCTTCCAATTCCTCCTTGGAAATTTAATGGCAGAACATGTGAGCTTCCTATGTGTCAGCTTGCTCTTGCACACAAATTCTATTGCCTTCATTAGGATGCTGTGCTGTAAGGTGGAGAAGGCAAGGAGTATTTTAGTATTTGTGCATATTTCTTATGAATATTTATGAAATCATCTCATATAGCAGTGCAGTACTCCCTATATTTGGCGACAGACCACCTGTATCTCTTAACTGAAGAACTAAAGTACATCGTTCTCCGAAATGATTTATCATTTACAAAAGCCAGACCTTTGTCATTTATGTTCCTGCTTAATATTCATGAGTCCTGCCGAAAACAAAGCTTATGGTGGCAGTAAAGTTCTGGATGGATTCTTTTTGTTCAGTTGCAGATCCTGGCAGAAAATTATTTAGTATTCTTTTGTTTTTGTTTTGTATGAAGGAATTTCCTATTTTCTTAAGACATTGGTTTTTATATCAGTATAGTTTACTTTTATATAAATATTGTAACACGTAACACTACATCTTGTTATTTTCAGTTTCATGGTTACTCTTTTCTTTTTACATTCCTCTTTAGTTTTCTTGTTTCAAAATATTTACAGTTCAGAGCAGGCCTTATTTTTTTTCAAGAGTCTGAGAAAGGCATGACCATGCTTGGATATACTAACAAGTAAACTGTTGATACTTCAGGTCTACTTAAAGAGGATTTCTACAGTTAATTACGAAGGATGTTTATCTTAAAGTTCGCAGCATTGGCGTATGTTACTGTGAACTGCTGGGCTGAGGTGAAAGGGAAGAATAAGGAGGAAGCAGAGTTTATTAATAGACTCCTGGATGACGAAGGCTTAGCAGTGTGTGCTGGTTGACTTTTGCTGTGGGACTGGTTGTAACAGTTGAAAGAGAATTTGGGATGAAAAACACAACAAAGAAAGCTGTGCAGGTGCACTACGCATTCTGTTATGCTTTTATGCTTTTGTCTTCTGTCTTAATAAATCACTTAATAAAATTTTGGTGTGTTTTCCTAAAGCAGTTTTACAGAAATATTTAGGCTAAAAGAGATAAAATAGCCTGGTAATTTATATAGTTCTCAGTACTGCTCATTTCCCAAAATAATGTCTTTAAAGAGTTAAATTTTATTCATTCAGGAGCTTTCCTGAACAAAGTTATGGGAAATAAAGACTGAGGTATTGTACTACCAGAGTAGTAGTCTTGACATTTCATAAGTGTTTAATTTCTTTTACTGGGAGATGGGAAATATTGTTGGCTTTACACAAATCAAAAAGTGAGTGTCATTTTGTTTGCAAATCAGCTGGAATTCCATAAAGCTTTTGTGCTTAGCGTACTTAGCAGAACATTGTTCTTTTTTTGTTTGTTTGTTTGGTTTGATTTGGTTTGTTGTTTGAGAAAGACACAACTTCTAACTTCAGTTTTTCAGTATCACTTGATCCCAGTTGTAATTTTAAAGCTTTTATTCATCAGTGCTGAGTGGTGTTACACCTTATTGTTGACAAGTATTTAGTCAAGATGTGTTTTCTTCTAATGTGAAAAATCTGTTTTTCCAGTTCACTGTTGCTTTAAAACTTGTAGTGTGCTATGCTAATTTCAAAGGCTGAAGCTTTGAGTTCTGTTATTACATTTCTTCTACTTAAAAAGTTTCACTACTATCCTAAAGTGGAGTACAACTAGCAAACTTAGTGTGTTGCAGATTAAGAAAAATTAGTTTGTCAGAGGAACAAAGCCATTCTGAGTCTAAAAAAAAGTAGTGTTTGTTTTTTTTTTTTTTTTCCCAGATATTGTTTTAAGATGAGTAGTTGAGGAATTTGTGATTTGAAAAATCACAGCTTATAAAGCGATCTAGAGAATGGAGTAAGAGTTATCTTAATAAAAGTATATGTGGAAAGTATGTGAAATTGGAGATACTGAAAAGAAATGGACATAATTTGTGTAAGATTTAGGACTTGATCACTCTTAGGAAGGTAATCCAAGTGCAAATTGTTAAACAGTGTATTAAAGTTGAAAAATTTTTGCAGGTGATAAGAATTAATAGCCATTTAATGGCAGCATGACTTAAACAACAGCAATCCAAAGAGCTCTGGCCTGTCAATTTTCTGAAATGGAACAAGGAGTGCACAATGATCTGGAACATCCTGCTGAAAAAATCAGTATTTGTATTCTTTTAAATCATGGGACAAGTCCAGGATGCTTCCAAAAGGTTATAATTGCTAATAAAATGGACAGCACTGAGCATGGAGAATGTTTTATTCTAAACAGCTAGTAAGTACTGCATTCTATGAACAGTAGCTTGGATCAGCCAAGCACACCATCATGTTGGTTATGTGATATGTTCTTTTCAACTTGCAGGAGAAATGAAAGCAAGCTGTGTATCTGTCAACAAAAATCTTTTGCAAAAAGCAATCAAAAGTTTAAAGGTAGGGGTGAAGGGGGAGGAGAGGGTTTCTAAGCTAAAATGTGCTTGCTACCGAAGAAGTACCATACTTCCCCATGACAACATTTGGCACGCCATCAGTATGGCTCAGTTCTGGCTACCTTTCCTACCTGCATCTCAGGTAGACCATGTCAGGTGAGAAAGATATAGAAATGATTCCATGCTGAGTGCAGAAGACCAAAGAAGCTTCCTAAGTCTCTTGAAATCACAGAAGTCTTTGAGCTGGGAACAGAATTTGATTTGGATTTGTATTTCTGCGTGAAAGAGGAAAGCAGCAGAGCACATAGATACAAAATATACTATGCATTATAGGCCAGTTGGCTGCTGATTCTTTGTAATCCAAGAAGAGAACTGTTATAGTAAGGCAGTAGGCTGACAGTGATTCAGAACATAAGCTGATTGTAAAATGGCTTTAGTACAACAAAGCAGGTTGTGCTCACATTTGGAAATGGAGTGTCTTTCGGATACATGCTTTATCTGACATACTTTAGACTGTTTTGCAGAGTTAAAATTCTATTTCATGACTGAATTATGTTCTCCTGAAGGACCTTGATAAACTCTAAAGGTGGGTCCATATGAACCTAATGAAGTTTAACAAAGCCAAGTGCAAAATTTTTCACTTGGGTTGAGGTAATCCCAGATATGTATAGAGTCTGGGAGAAGAACTCCTTGAGAGTAGCCCTGCTGAGAAGGACTTAGAGGTTCTGGTAGATTAGAAAACTTAACATGAGCCAGCAGTGTCTGCTTGCAGCCTGCAGGACCAGCGGTATCCTGGGTTCCATTAGAAGAGGAGGGAGGCCAGCAGGGAAGGAGAGCGGATTGTACCCCTCTATTCTGCATTCATGAGGACCCATCTGGAGTACTGCGTCCAAGTCCAGGGATCCCAACTCAGGAAAGATTTGGAGCTTTTGGAGAGGACCCAGAGGAGAGCTATGAAGATGATCTAAAGGCTGGAGCACTTCTCCTATGAAGGAACTGGGCTTGTTCAGCCTAGAGAAGAGAAGGCTGTGGAGAGAGCTCATTGTGGCCTTCCAGTATTTAAAGGGAGTTTTTAAACATTGGGGAAATCAACTTTTACACGGGTAGAAAGTGATAGGACAAGGGGAAATGGTTTAAAACTAAAGGAAGGGAGATTTAGATTAGATGTCAGGAGGAAGGCTTTTTTTTACTAAGAGAGTAGTAAGGTGCTGGAACAGACTGCCCAGAGAGGCTGTGGATGCCCCATCCCTGGAGGTGTTTAAGGCCAGGTTGGATGGAGCCCTGGGCAATCTGATCTAGGACTTGATCTAGCAGTTGGCAGACCTGTCTATGGCAGGGGGATTGGAACTTGATATTCCTTGAGCTTCCTTCCAACTCAAGCCATTCTGTGATTGTATATATATATATATAGACAAATACACACACATCTGAAAGTGTATTAGCCCATTATAAATTTAAATACTTACTTGTTAACTGTAATATGAAAATCGCTTTCCAAAGTCAATTTTAACTTCAATGGGCATGATATTTAAGCAAGAAAGTGTTCCTCTAACTGTTCCATCATAGCTTTTTCAGAACTACTGTTACATGAGAGTTTTCTTTTGGCATACCAACTTTTCAGGAAATTATGTGCTGCTTAAGGAAAAAAAAAAAAGAAAGGAAAGGGTTTCTTTCAGTCCCAGAATAGCTACCCAAGTTTCCTTTTATATTAACAGTTGTGTTTTGCTTTGATAATGCTTCTAACAATTCGTCTGATACATTTTATAGATGTAAAAAGCATCAAAATATCATTTCAAAAGTTGTATTCAGATAAATGAATTGTGGATGAAAGTCAAGCATGCTTGATTATTAAAGTTACCATTTGGAACATCTTGTTCACTTCTGAAGCAGATGTTGTTCTCTGTTTAGTCAGCCTTTTATTTGAAAAGTTATTCCTAAAGACTGCTGTAATGGCTAAATTTACCAAATTATTTGAAGAAAAAGTTATCAAATTACAAGTGGGGGAGAAGCTTTGTAATAGGTCTTTAAGGCTTCAGTGCAATAAAAATAATAACAATTGAATTTGTTGATGCAATTGGTCCCAGATTTCAACCATAATTTTCTCATTAGGTTTGGATTACATCTGTATTAAACCTTCATCTCTTTAGAGACTTCAATTTATTTACTGCTGTTTCTTTTGCAGATCATTTCCCTCAGTAAGTGACGATAAGAATGAATGGCCATATATCAAATACCCCTCCTGGTGGCTATGGAAGTTATTCTCCTCAAATCAAGTAAGTTTATGCCTTTGATTTTCCTTCTGTGGACAGAAAAATATTTTGTATTTTTTCCTTATGCTTTCATTTTGAGTAGAGCTATGATTATTAGAGCTCAATAGAATAACACAAATGCAGTTTCTCTAAAAGAGCATGCAGCTTCCAAATTAATAAATAATATCTGACTGATTTTTGTATTAGTGGAAGAGTAAAGCTATATTACTGGGTGATGTCATCTGGCACAGAAAAATAAATTGCTGTAGCCACAATACAATTATGACATGACACAGAGATGTCTTCATGTGACTGAGATGTTTAAGAGTAGCTGTGAGTGAAAATATTCTTGTGCCTCGAGGATGAGGCTGCCCTTTCCATCTGTGAGGAAATATAATTTCCCAGAAACAGAACTGAGCAACCATTGCTTTCCTTGGAAGTGTTGCCTTTTTTGAGATAGGAAGATGTTGCCTGTGTCAGAAGTGTGGCACTAGGCTCATTCACACTGTTAATGAGAATTGGCCTAATCTAATGCAAAAGTTTTTACGTGACTCATTATTGTTGTTATGCTAGAAGAAAGTTGGATCGTCTTTCCATTTGTTGTAGGCAATGATATTCCTTTTACTTCTTTTATGAAAAGCACTTGAAACTGTTAAAAACACCACTTGTGTACATAAGCAAGAGGCAAAATGCTACCAAGTCCTTGGCATTATTGTTACTTGATAGTAATCAGTGTTACTTACATTATGGTAGTATTTATATGTATGTCACAGCCCCCACTGTGTGTGATGTTGTTAACAAGAAATAGCACAGGAGGGCTTCTAACCCAAGTGAAGGATGCTTCATTATATTCATGGTGTAGAACTAGTATCCAGTAGCATCTCCTTTGTTGCAAACACTGTAGGTATGTGTAGCCCTATGGAAGGGGAAAGTTTTATTCTGTGTCCATGTTTTTGTAGAAATTACATTCATACAGAAGTTAACCTGAAATTTTTCCTCCCAGTGGCTATGGCTCACCAACATTTGCTCAGGCAGAGAGGGAGCAGAATTCCAGAACAAGTGCAAAGGCTCTTTATGGTAAGGTGGCAGAAAGTTTCTGAATTTCTATGTTAGAATTGTTATTTAAATGTTGATTGTGATGTCTTTGTATATATTTTATTTAGATATTTTATATATGTATGTATAAAAAACTGAAATTGGGTATGTAAATGTTTATAGATAAGTACATTGTTATATATCTATTAATTTCTATTAACAAAAATGAAATTACTAGAGGATTTTATTGTTATTGAAACTAATGTGGCTGGTTATGAAATATTTTTGCCTCTTTCTTAGCAGAAAACTCCCACCTGCTAACTTTTAAGGCAGCAACATTTAAGGCATTTGTCAGAAAACTAAGAGTGATAAGGAAAAGGCACTCAAGGATCTAGCTGTGCTATACGTTTGATCCATGCTTTGTGTCTCCCTCTCCTTGCCCAACTTTATGCTCAGTTAGGAGAAAGGGAATTTACAATAGTATTACTATTATTTGACACAAGGATTTCGAGGAGCTTATATTTGGTGTAACAGATATGAAGTCCTCCTTGGCCTGCTATTTTTGACAGGTTTTGTAACTGTCAAATGTGCTGTTATTTAGAAATGCCTGAAGTCTGTACTTACCAACTGGGGATGCTAGTATTTTTCTGAGAATGGAAAAATAAAGTTTGTAGTGAAAATGAAGTCCTGTATTGGACCCCTCACACCTCAGGCAGCTTTTAGGGAAAAAAAATTCACTCAGAGGATGGTGAGGCACTGGCACAGGCTGCCCAGAGAGGTTGTGGATGCCCATCTCTGGAGGCATTCAAGGTCAGGCTGGATGGGGCCTTGGGCAGCCTGAGCTATTGGGTGGGAACTCTGCCTTCAACATGAGAGGTTGGAACTGGATGATTTTTAAGATCCCTTCCAACCCAAACCATTCCATGATTTCCCTTGTTGAATTTAACACCCCTTCCCCAGGGTAAGAAACCAGAAAGCTGCATCTAGTAATTGCAACATCCCTATTGGTAATTAGTCTTGCCTCCCTCCTGTTTTGAGTTGAGTAATGGCCAGGAGGGACCTCATGAGGGCAGGGGAGTGATGGCCGGTTGCTTTGTGGTTTTAGAGCATTACATTTCCCCTTGGAAGGACACCCTTACGAGCATTCTGTCAGGCTGTGTTGGCTATTCACCTGTGAACACATAAGAACTTAATTGTATTGGTTGCACTGTTGACTTTTAAACTGCTCTGAAATTCTTGTGGCTAAAACTTAAGGAGATTGGAAGTCTCTTGATTTGTATCCCCTGAGAAGAGAGGTGAGAAAATACTGATGTGGTTTGGAGGCAGAAAGCACTGTGCTAGAGTATATGAAAGTCCACTTCCAGAAAAATCAGCAGACAGAAGAAGAAACTGTTTGAAATGTTTGCCATTTAAGAATGATGTTGCATATGAATAGTTCTAAGTTTAGACTTTTTTTTTTTTCAGTGATATGTTACAGAAATCATTCACTTACATAGTATTAAAGGCAGGAACTGCAAGAGAGCAAAATCCTTCAGTAAGAGGAGTTTTCAACAGTGGTGTTTCTGCATCCTGTGTAGATTCACACGGCAAACTGATTGCATGTGTTGACAGAAATAGTGGGTGGTAACAGAAACCAGCAAGGAACATGTCTAAAAGCTCTTAGGGGATTATTTATTAGAGGCACTTTTCACTTTTCTCATTCCTGTTATGTCATCCAAATAATTTTTCAAAAGTATATGTTTTGAATGGACATGCTTAAGACACATAAACTGTCTTAAGCATGTCCTTTAATCTTTGTGGGCCTTTATAGTGATACCTCTCTGAGCTTTTTCATGTCAAACATCATGGGATATTCATATGTAAGTAGAGGACAGGGACAAGTGAGTAAATTTGAAATATATAATGGTAAACAGCCTATTACTTCTAAAATGTTTTATTGAATTTGTGTATTAATTGAAAATATTACCATGTAACTACAGTGTGGTGGCTCCTGTAAGATGAATTGTTGATCCTGGTTCACTTCCACTGCTAGCAGAGAGATCACACAATTGTGGTTTCAATTGCCAAGAATGAAGCAGTAGAATCAATTATTCTGAGTCTAAAGTAAAGATACATTGGCACAGCCTGTAGAGAGAGGGGTTCACACATTTTACTGCTTTATCTCTGTTTCGTATGCATAAAGAGCAAGTCTGTCAGTATCACTAACTGTATGAGGGGGAGAAAACAGAAAAAACACCTAAAACTTTTCTCAAATTCAAGGCAGTTAGTTATATTTAGCAATCATGTTACATTTCTCCTGCGTTCCACATGCCTTCAGGGTTTCTTCCCATGCCACACTGAGGAATTTTTGTGCATGCTGTCCCAATGAGGTAGGAGGCAGCTAAGTGAAATGAGAATTGTTAATAACAGTTTAAAATGTACATTAGAAAATATTAATAATTAGTGCACAATAGTTAATGCATGGATATTTTTTTTTTAATCCATGAGATTGAATGCCTGTGAATCAGATTGGAGGTCTCCTAGCTTTGTTTTTATTTTTTGCATGATGTATATCTTATATACAAATGACACTTAAGTAAATACTTCAAGTGTATCTATTTAGTAGATTCACTTATATATATATATAATTTTTTTTATGCACACTGATATATACATATAGATAGATAGATACATACATACATGCATATATATATATAAATAATTTTGGCATAGGAGTAATGTGGACTGTGCTTTTTGTTTTGATAAAATGTGACTTCGTAATATTAGGAGCTAAATTTGTCCATAACCAAGTTTCTTTTCTGGAAGACTTCTGAACATCATTTGTACTAGAGCACCTATCCATGGTTCCTGGGTTCCTAAGTCAGTACTTGATCTTGAATACAATTTCTTCTAGTCACAGTGAAGATCTTAAAACATCTCCCAGTCTGACTCTATATGTAGATATATGTATACAACACGAAGTTTAAATGTTGAGTGCCAGTGCTTGTTTTAGTAAGGTCATTCACAATTGTTCAGTCCTTTGGTCAGAAGGCTGACCACGCTGCTGGTGGGAAAGGTGGCTGGAATTTTATTTGTATTACAGGCAGTTCAGCTAAAAACTGGAGTCTTTGCTATCTCTGAAGTGGTTATCTGATAGCAAAAACTTGATTCCAATTGCCTTTCTTGTGTCAAATAATTTCTTTCATCTATTTCCTGCCTGAAATGAAATGTTTTTGTAGTTGCATGATAAATGTTCCCCAGAATTTGGAGCAAAGATGCCCTTTACACATTCTTATAATTTTATTTCGTTATTTAACTCCTCATCTCTCCATCTGAAGTGAATTTTGGCTCTTACTCTCATCTGTTTTTCTAGCATTAGCTTCTCCATCTGTCTTCTGCAGCTCTGCTCGCATGGAGACAGGCAGCATTAGCTGGAGCCAGTAGCCAGAGCTGCACTGGGGATTTGCCAGTGAGTGACAAATGACACATTGCGGAGCAGCTCTGTTCTGCAGCAGTCATAAGATAGTAGTTTTCTCCAAATTGGAAGATGTTACAAAAGCAACCCATCAGGAAGGGACGGGTGTTTTATATATTGTGTTTCTCATGGCTGTGATTAGGTGCTAGAAGTGAAATTGCATGTCTGTATTTGTACTGCTCAAATACCTCATTCAGAGCAAGAAATGCAGTGTAATAGAGTCTGTTAAAATAAGCTTTTCGTGTAACATTCTTGTGTTGTTTGATGCTCAGTTGAATTAAAATGACAACTGACTTCTAAACACTGCACCTTTTCTGATAGCTATTTCCCTGTAGTCATCAGGGAGAAGACTGACATCAAGAATCTCTGAAAGCAATAGCCTTTAATCCTCTAATAATAACATTTGTACTTAAAAAGTTTTGACCTTTCTCCTTGGATGTGTTAGATCACATCTCCTGTACTTTGCTCTGAGTCTCAAGTTGAGCTTTTCCAGCTGATGTAATTCCTAAAGGGGTATCAGCAATCGCTCTAATGAATGGACAGTAGTAAAATAAGCATTGTGTTTTTCTGCTTCTCAATGCATGGTAATAATCTAAACTGTCACTTCAGGATTCATAAGACAGCTCATGAGACACTTAATCCATCTGTATGTAGATTGCAATCTAATTTCAGAGCTTTGTCTCTTTGTATACAGTATAGATATTTTCCAATTTCCTTATGGAAGGGGAAGATGGGATCAGCCATTATTCTTCTTTGCAGTATCATAGCTGGAGCACTGATAACATGTATTACATCTGGCCTATGCAATTATTTGTAAGATACCAGTGGAGGTCTAGGCACTGGAATTCTTCCTTTTAATTTTAGCCTCCGGGAACTGAAAATTTGTATCTAAATGTAGCATAGCCCTAGCTAGTGCCAGCTGTGCTTGGGGTCATCCGTGAAGACTCAGCCTCAGACCTTTTGTATTTGGTAAGGTTTTTCCTTATTTAGATAAGGAATTAGATTCATCTTAGAATCATTGAATATCTTAAGTTGAAAGGGACCCACAAGGGGCCAACTCCTGGCTCTGCACAGCACCATCCAAAATTCAGACCTTATGTCTGTGAATGTTATCCAAATGCTCTTTGAACTCTGGCAGCTTGGGCCCATGCCCACTGCCCTGAGGATCCTGTTCCATGCTCACCGCCCTCTCAGGGAAGAACCTTTTTCTAACATATTGCTGCAATTCATTTATCTATGTGGTCTGGGCAGTGGAACAGAGTCAGAATCAGTACAGTTTATTAGACAACTTCCTAATTTTTCATTTAAATGCATCCTCTTCCAATGGGAAAATAGGTAAGAAAGGACTCAGCTATGTCAGGTTGTGTTAATAGCTCTGCCTCACATGACTTTGAGCAGTGTGGTGTTTTTGTCTGAAACTATGGAACAGTTACTTTTCCAAACAGTGTAGTGTTCTCTCACAGAAGTAACTGGGGAAAGCCCAGAGTTTTTAGTGTAGTGAGGGCAGTGAACAGTCCTGTTTGTCTGTGTACTTTACTGTTTAGTGTGTTTTTGGCTTGGCTAAAAGCCTTTGGTTGAGAGTTTGAGGTGTTTTTTTTCTATCATTTTCTGGTGTTTCTGTGTCTGCTTCCAAGTTTAATATAAAGTCAGCATCTTTTCACATCTTTTTAAAACCAGATATGTTATCCATTCCTGATGAGTGAATTCAATAAGTTCACAAAGGCAGGAAGAGCAGTAGCATTGCTCCACATCAGAAAGAAGCAAAAATATTATTTTCTGTGGATCAGTGTATGCCTTCCTTTGAAAAGTTTGATAGCTAGTAGATCTTAAGGTCAGAGTCATGAGTGAATAGCTGTTCTGCTTTTAACTTTATTGCACTTGCTTTGAGAGAAATTTTATTTTGCCCAAATTTCTCTGGGTTGCATTTATGGTAGATTGTGATTAAGAATTTAACTTTGGTGACTTCTGCTGTGATTTTCTTTTTATATTTACTTCTATATTTTCCTTTATCAGAGGGAAAGTATATTAGATAAATTGTGTGTAGCACACCAGCTGGATTTGAATTAACTGGTATTAAGGCTGCACTGCATTTTATGTATTGGATGTAAGATCTGTAATAAAGAGAATAAACAGAAAAAGAAGATAGCTGTGATTGCTTTATTCATCACATCTTGAAGCCTCTGTTGTAGAATCTCACTTCTTGTTCAATAACTCTTTTCATGGGTGAAAAGACTTCTGAGAGGCTGAAATTGATCTGGAGGATTAGGAGATTGAAGCAGAACACAGAAAACAATTTTTTCCAATGTAAGGGCTTGACCCTGGCCAGCAACTGAGGGCCTTCCCTGAGTGAGTTGCTTGGCTGCTACCCCTCCCTCCCCTGCAGCCTATTAGGGTAGAGAATAGAAAGAGCAACAGCAAAAAAAAAACAAAAAACCAACAACTCCTGGATTGAAATAAAGCCAGTTTAATAAGTGAAGGAAAGAGAGGGAGGGAAAAGCACTAGAAAGAAATAAATGAAAAAAACAAAACAAAACAAATAATGCAGGCATTTTGCTTTGCTCACCACCTCCCAACCTCCTGCAAGCAGATCAGTGCTCCGGGCAACAGTTACTTTGGAAATACCACCACTCAGTTGTATTGCTGAGCATGGCTTTATTGTTCTATATGCAGTGGAACTCTGGTTAGTTTGGGCCAGCTGGCCTTACCGTGTACCTTTGCTAACTCTTGGGTACCTCCCAGCAACTTACTTGGGGGACAGACAGAGAAACAGTAATGGTCTCGATGCTGTGCAAATGCTGCTCAGCAATAGCTTAAACATTACCAGTGCTGCTATAGTCACAAATCCCAAACACAGCCCCATGCAAACTGCTGTGAAAATAATTCTGTCCTATTCAGACATGATGCATTCAGTAAGTCAGCAAATTATGTTGCTCATTTTCAGTAACAGAGTACGAATTATTAGTATTTGAACATCATATAATAAGTCAAGGGAAGTTTTCAGGTATTCTGTAAAAGTGGTCAGAATAATAACAGTGATGTTTTTTGCTGGAAATCCAACGCGATGGCACATCAGCAGAAGGGGTACAGCAGGGTTTATGCATCCTCCTCTTTGAGTGCAAGGTGAGAGTTTGCAGAGGATTGCAGTTTGTCTGTTTGGTTTTTACTTTTTTCATTGTGTTGTGCTTATATTATCATGTGGAGACTTCATTCATTCATTCATTCACATCCTTTATGATACTTTCTGCAGCACAACTTATGCCAGGCAGCCAGGAAAATTTGCTCTCTGGGAGTTTGGGCTATTAGCAGCTGGGCTGACTCTGTAAGGAGAAGGAGATCCACTTTCTAAATATTAGGTTGAAAAACAAAGGTTGAGGAAAAACACTTCCAGAAACAACTGAAGAATTTTGCCTGATAGTGAGGTACTTACTAGAAAGATAGAAGGGCCTGTAGGATAACAAAGGATAAGTTAGATCTCTAATGGGTTCTAATAAACATTCTGCCAGCATAAACATGTTTATAAAATAAATAAGTAAACTGGAATTACTGCTGAACGCAATATGGACTGTCAGTTTTTGTGGTTACCGTAATTTTATTTATTATCACAGACACTGGCTTTTGCTAATTGAAAATTCTGTTGAAGTTCTTGTTGCTGACCTGTTGTAATTAAAAATGAAGAACTTGAGGGGTTCTCTTTCGCTCTCAAATGTAGGCAACCACAGCTTTTATTATCACTCAGAAAGCTCTTTCTTACATAAACACTATTGTTCTCACTGTGACATGGTGTGCTGAAAAACTTACCATCTTATCTAGTGTGAGTGCTGTGCTGCTCTGTGGAAGAGGATGTGCTTGTCAGTGCTGCAAGTGCTTCTGGATATCCTAAAGCAGGACAAAAATTCTGGAAAACGGGGCATGAACTTTCAAAAGTTGCTCTCTGCTTTTTCATTCCTTTGGAGTCTCCCCTTATGGAAGACTTTCCATGCTTAAAGCCACTCTGACTGTTATTGCTTGCAGGATTCATAAGCTTTGCAGTGGATGTAAGATTCCTTATCTTGGTTTCATTTGTTGTCATTAAAAATAATTCTCTTTTTCACCTCAAAAAGATACTAATCAGAGTTGAACGTTGGATGTATTGTTAATTGAAACATGGCACTTTTTAATTATTATTTTCTAGGCCTATTTTCTTTCCTACTGGACAGCATTTTATAGTCTGTAATGAAGGATTGTTAACTAATCCCCTTGGAGACGCAAATAATTGTAATGAGTTAAACCAGATACTGTTTTTTAATTCCCTTATTTTGTTAGGTACAGATGGACTTTACTTCTTCAGATCATCATCCAAACAAAAAAAGAAAGGTAGCAAGTCAGACAGTATTGCTGTTTTGTTGGGGTGTGCATGTGTGTGTGCCTATTGTCCTTAGAAGAATAAGAATCAAACAGAATACCTAAATAACATGCTGCAAAAGCAGGAATATTAATCACAGTTGGAATCAGTCCTGTCCTGGGATTTTGAGGTAACAGGTGATGAAGTTGAAGTATCTGTTTTAAACTGTTCACATACCTAGTTAAAAGAAATCTGATAATCCATGGCATTCTTCAATTCGGTGATTGCAGTGCAGATTTCTTGTGCTAAACCGAGCAAGCTGAGTAGCTGTTGTAGGGTAGCAGGATGGCTCTGATGCATGAGCTGTGTCTGCCTTTAAGAAGGGGACTCTGAGCCAAGGAGGGGTTTTAAAAATTGGGAATTGGATTGTCTTTCATGAGGCTCACTGAGAATTGAAGAGATAAGGGATGTGATGATAAAGGGTAACAAAATACCCTTTTAAGTAAGTGAGGGCATTCCTTTCCTTGTCAGTACCCAAGATTCCTGTGTGAAGAAACCCTGGTCACAGGAGAGCTTTTTAAAGTATTTCATGCATTGTGTCCTCCCTGCAGATCTCTCTACATTGCAGATCATGTGGTCATTAGTAGTAGTTTTAATTTTGCAAAAAGTAACTAATATCTCCTGACAACAGAAGCATGCACTTTCATTTTGCCCCTACATACTCCAATTGGATATGATGAAATGAACGAAACATCAGTTGCACACATTTCCTTCCAAACACAATCAAACTGCCTATTCTATTTGAAGATCAGAACTCAAGGTATTCAGTGAACCATAGAGGAAAAAAATTAGGAAATGCTTAGTTTCCTTGAGTTCCTCTCAGTGACTTTATTGCTTAGTCAGTACTCTGATGTTTCAAATTGGACTATTTCATTGGTTATCAGGGGAAAAAAAGAGGAAAGCTCCCTGTGCGTTGTATTGAAAATTCAAAATAAAATTGAAAAGTGAAGCGTGTGAGGTTTTGTTTTTGTTTTGTTTGGTTTGGTTTGGTTTGGTTTTTTTGGAAGTATTCAACTACATTCATTAGTTTTTAGTGTGGGTGTGTGTTGTGTCCTCATCTTGTATATGTCCTTCCCTCCTCTCCAGGTTTGATGTTAATCAATTGTGGGGAGTAAAAGGCAAACTGTTTCTGATTTTGCAGCATTGTGTTTTGTTCAGCTGAAAAAGATTTCTGTTCTATTTAATGTTTATGTTGATACAGCTTTTGGCTTCTTTTTTCCTTCTTTCTTTCTATGAATATTTCTACATTACTGACTCAACAAACAGAATATACTAGGGAGAAATAAATGTTGACACAGATTGGGTCTGCGAGTGGCTTTGTTTTTTGTGAGAGTTGTATATGTCTGAAAACTCTTTTACATTCTTGCAAAGGCAACACTGCAAGTTACCATGTTGCTACCAAGTGGAAAGCCAGTGATTTTTAAGTCAGGCTTCCCAATGAAGCATTTCCAGCCAGAACACTGCTTCCATCTGGTGCCACCAAGACAAGATAGCTGGCTTTTAACATCAGCGTAAGTATGGTTCTTGATGGAGTGTGTGAGCATGTAGCTTTTTTTTTTCTTTTTTTTCTGAATACAAAAATAACCACAGCTCACCTTCTGCTTTCATATCTACAGCTCGTTTTAAGCATCTCTGAGAAGTATCCAGAACACAGTATGGTAAGAAGGCAAATGAATAATTCTTTTCTTTTCTCTCAATCTTTAGAACAAAGAAAGAACTATGCACGGGACAGTGCCAGCAGCATATCGGAAACTTCCCAGTATCACGTAGAGGTGAGATGAGGATGTATGACAAAGCCATCTACCCGTTACAGCTTTTGGTTATACTGTGATTTTTGCTTACACGATTTTTGAGGATAATGTGCTTGAAGACATATGAATCTTCCAAAATATCCTGCCAGCCCGAGGTCACTTCAGAACAGATTACACTGAAACGTATCACATTCTCTAGCTTTGCCATAAAGAGCTGGAATTTTGATGTAGAAAAATGTAAACAAAGTCGTGTGTAGTTTGGCAAACGGAGAGGGCTTCTCAATGGGACGGCAGCTCAGTGTGCTATGTTGCCCTGTTTCTGAACCTATTATATTGCAGGGATAAGGCAGGCCATTAGCAAGGAAGGCTGACTCATAATTAATATAAATACCTTGATTATTTATAAACAACAGAGGTGTCATAATAGTTAGAAAAAGCTGGGTACTAAGCCCTAAAAGCCTTAGTGAATCTACTGTTAGTGGTGATATTCTGCCTGCACAGACTCTTCCCCAGTGAGAAATGCTAAATACTTTCCTTCCTATCTTAAGCTGCTTTGCAGAAATACTCTGTGCTGCTGTCATATTCTGTCCAGAAGTAGACAAGTATTAAATATTCAACAAAGTAAGCCTGGGTGCTTATATGTAGTCTGTAGGCACTTCTGGGTGCTATTCCTCATTATGCAGTCTTTCTTTTGCGAAACCTTTTTCCTTTACCATCAGAACATTGTCATGGGTTTAACTGAATTTTGAAAAAAAATGTAGATTCCCAGGTTCTTTTAGCTGGGTTTTCAATTTAGCTGTAAATTGTGAGATTGTATGCAGAAGAGTCTTCATTCCAAGTACTTCTATCCTTGATCAGCTCGCAAAGGAACGTTTATGTTGCTTTTAATTATCTGTCTGTATTTAGCTTCTGTGTAACCATTTTGGTACTCCGCTGGCATAAAAATTAGTACTTGTATTTGAAGTTTAAGTATTCCTGTGTGAGCAGTCAGCAGGGTTTGTCTCACTTTTTAAAATACTTTGATTATATGCAGCTTGTATCTACTCTCTTGTCTGTCATTAACATGTGCTGTTATCCTGTAATAGAAGAAAGCTCACTTAATTCTTTTAAGCTATTTATAAGATAGGTGCACAGGCATACATTAAAATCGGTTCAGCTTGAGTGACTGTATTCAGGTCTTAAAGAAGAATGTGAAGCTGGAGTTGTGCCTGGATAAAATTAAATAACTTTATAGGTTGTGTTACATGGCTTATATGTTTAAGGAGAAATTGTCAAAACTTTAAAGAGAGGGAAACTAGTTGAGGCGATGCCTGTTAGTAGTGTTTCATTACTAGATCATTAATGAAAATTGGAGAATATTCGAAGTTGACAGTGAGCAAACATAGTTTATATACTACACTTCTATTGTGCTCTGCATAAAAGAAGCAACTACCCTGTCTGTAAGGTATTCCAGTCAGATGCAAGCCCATGATGTTTGCCATCAATGTGTTAGCTGGCGGCTCTGGGAGAGATAGGGATGCTCCAGGCCAGGGTGGTGGTGGATATGTGCTGGCAGTGTGTTTCTGCGAGGCTTCTACTGGTGCTTTTTGGATTCAGCTTGCCAATAGAGACAGGTGTTCACTTCTCAAGAAAGCTAACTAAATACTCAGGATTTAATTCTCACTGTGATACCTGAAAGATGTCATAATATGCCTTCCAGTGTAACCATATTCTGCAGTGAGGAAATGACAGAGGATGGCAAGCAGCAAGTTTAAAATGACATTATGGACTAAACAACCTTCCCTATGGCATATTGGTTGATTCTGTCATAAAAGGCACTTTCATTCATGAATTATTTGTATTGCTCTGTCATGGCAATTTGAATACTGACATTGCCTAGTGATAATGAAGATTACAATTCTGTTATTATTTTAATGTGTGTGTCATTCACCAGCATTTGACCACCTTTGTTCTGGACCGAAAAGAAGCAATGATTACAGTAGATGATGGAATAAGGAAGCTGAAATTATTGGATGCTAAAGGCAAAGTGTGGACTCAAGATATGATTCTTCAAGTGGATGACAAAGCTGTCAGTTTGGTGGACTTGGAATCAAAGGTACGATCTGTGAGTGGCAGTCTCATTTTCAGAGAGAGAAAGAAAGGGAAGGGACAGAAAAAATGATGTGTGTGAGATTTGGTATTTTAATTAGCTTATTATCACTTTCTCTTTTTAACTCATGCAGCTTTTTTTGAGATCAGGACACTGAATATTAAGACTCTTTTTTTCTCCTTTTTTTTTTCTTGGTTTTTGTTTCCCTTCTGGCAGAATGAACTGGAGAATTTTCCTTTAAGCACAATTCAGCATTGCCAAGCTGTGATGAATGCATGCAATTACAATTCAATTCTTGCATTAGTATGTAAAGAACCAACTCAGAACAAGCCAGATTTGCATCTTTTCCAATGTGATGAGATTAAGGTAAGGTGGTAATGGAGATCTTCTATGACTTATTTCAGCTGGGGAAATCTTATGAATTGGCAAGTACAATGGGTAAAATAAAATAAACTGATTCATAGGAAATTATTATGTTCTTTTATTCTTATAAGTGTAGTTCAAGCTTCATGCATTTATGATATCTACATGAGTTGCGGTATGCTAATATAAGCAGCATAGTATATCTTGTAAGAAAAGATGTATGTAAGCTGAATCTTTAGTGCATGTGCAAATATGTTATTATTGTAAATATTGATTCTTGGGCTCTGTAGTTGTTCATTTGTGTTTGTAAAGGACCAAAGCTCTGGAATATGCATATCATTTGCATTCACACTTCTAAGAGGTGTAAAATAGTTTGAGTTATCTCAGATTTATTTTATAATCTGGAAAGAACTCATCCAAGTCCTGAGTCTTTCCTACTCCTTCCCTTTTTCTACTCTTTTTGCCAATGAACAGATAAGCCTCCCCAACATTTCTGCCTCTGCATTTCTGTCCTGCAGGAGAGATTGTAAAATAGTAAATATTGCTTGCAGGAGGGACAAAAGAAGGAAAGAGATTGTTTATCTCTGATTAAAATATTCCCTTCAAGCTTCCAGAGTAAATATTTTTAATGCATTCAATGCAATGCTTCTTCATTTCCAGGATTATAAATGTTAATGTGTTATTTACTCCACATAATTGGTATTTCTTTCAGTTTCGCTCAATCATTTTATGGTTTGTTTGGTTTTTTTCTCCAGTCACATCTTAGGAGTTTATATCATTGTCTTAAAACATCACATTGCTAATTGTATTGTGCAAACATCTTGAAATTGGTTCATTGCAAGTGGTGTGAAGATTGCTGATTGTGTGACCTGTTGCACAAAATTTGTTGTTTCAATGAAAACTGGGATCCTGTGAGTTCAGTTTGCACTATGCTAAATAATGCAGCAGTCCCCTTTTAAGATCTGGTTGGACACAGCCTCCAAAGGTGTATAGTGGTCTCTTCAGACTTCTATCTTTTGAAGTTCTTCCAGTGTGTGCAAATAAAATTGCAGAATGCATAAGCATGACTTGAAGTCTGGGATCCTTTTTTCCTTCTGAGATATCATTTGAGTCTGTGACCTTATCCTAGGTTCTGTTCCTTTTCCATAAGCCTTGGCTCTTCTTGAGATGTTAGATCTTATTCATTGCCTTCTTAATGCTTTCAATCAGAACACATAACAAACTTCAGGAGCCTCTGCAATAGCAGTTTATTCAAAATTAATTGCATTTCAGTCAGTCAACATTTTCTAAAGAAACAATTGTTAAATAATAAATATAAATAGTGTAATTAATGATATACTTTTGTTCCTCAAATCCTGTCAAGTTGTTCAACTAATTCTTTAACCTTCATCTATCTCATTATGTTCTGAAAAGTCCGTTAATCTCTCAATTCAGTGAAGATTTCTAGTCCCAGTAGTTACATATTCCTCCTAAGAAGTTACATGTTTTTTTTTCCAAGAGGTAGAACTTGTAAAATGAGCTAGACATGGACAGATCTGGGCCTTGACAAGTTGTATAGGAAATTAATTTGTCAGCTCAAGATATGTAACAGAGCATCCTGAATACTATGAGAAGCTGTGACCTATTTAATGCAAGATCTATTAAAATAATGCCCTAGACATGTATCAGAATTTCACTTATAGGCCACCGGTGAGGTCAGATTGCAGTAATGGAGAGACAGGAACCTAAAGACCAGGAAATGTACTGAAAAATTCATCTTTTGCTAAGCCAAAGAGAAAATGGAGGCTACCTTCTTACAGGAGACTGTATTACTACCAGTTATTTTCCTAATCCTTATGCTACTACTATTTATAGTAGTTTTACTTTACGTCTTCCACAAACATTCTTGAAAGAAAAGAAAAAAAAAACAACACCATGTAGGGGGGAAAATATCTCATGCAGTAATTGTTAACTTTGGATAATTACAACTGCTCAGACAAACTCAGCATCTAGATAACACATCCATCTGATGATAATGTTTGAGATTGGAGCAGTGACAAAAAAGCTCCCAGAGAATGGTGCCATGTTTTCTTTGTTCTGTTCCCATACAAATCCCAGCTTTTTTTTTTTTTTTTTTTTTTTTAATGGAATATGGTAAGAGGTTCTGTAATCAAAAGACAACTTCAAAAAGTACATGATGAGATCATTAGTACATATATCTGGTTAGTCTAGATGAGAACTGATGGACTCTGCTTCTGTCTCTTCAGGCTAGCTTTATTCATGAAGATATAGAAAGTGCAATCAGTGACAGCAAGAGTGGAAAACAAAAGAAGAGACTTGAAACACTGAGGTAAAAACCTAGTTTCTTGGCAATATATGGAGTAATGAGACACTCTCCAAGTCTGTCTGCTGTTTCTTTTTCTTTTTTTTTGGCTAGTTGATAATATACTTCAAAAAGCACATGTAGAGAACTTGACTTACTAATTATCTCAAGCTCTCTCTAGTTATAGTGTCACTCTTAACTTTCCCTATTCTGCTTTAGTAACTGGAACAGCTGACATAAGTGCAGGTTGCTTGAGAATAGCATTATGTATCTGAGTTTTGTATTTGGATAAAATAGTTCAAAATTTGAAATAAAAATATGAATCTTCCTGAATTCCAAGGAAGTGAGGTTTGGGGATCTAAAGATGTTAAATAGAACAGCAGCCGAGGACAAAAAAAATTCCTGCCTATTTAATGACTTGAAAAAACTCCTTGTTTCCCTGGTAGGGAAGACTTCTCTCCCAGCAGGAAAAAGTGGAGTAAGAGTCTATTGGTTTCAGACCATAGAAATGAACAATAGCTGGTGCAGGTATGGAAACAAGGGCACAAATATGTTAAGTACTGAATAGGATGGTGGTGGTCTGTATGCTGAATCCTGATGACGTCGCTCAATAATAGTCCTTTGGTCCATTGAGAGAATTCTCTGCTGTACAAAAATCTTTAAGTAAAAATGTCACTATTATATGAATAAGTTTATTGCTGCCTTAGTTGCCTGTTAAATTCTGGTGTGCAACTTGTGAAGTTTTGCTAGAATAATGGCCACTTATGTTGAAAAAAATTAAGAAGGCAGAAGTGCATCAGATTTTACATTTGGGTTTAAAATTAAGCAAGTACACTTTACTGTTTGAGGTACAATAACAGATAAGTGTAAGTACAAAGATGTGTACCACCAGGACTCAAACACTTTGGGGAAAGCTGATGAGATTTAATTGGGAAATGAATGTAGGTCAGTACATCCACAGGGAAAAGTAATCTGACATATCAGCCTCTAAAAGCTTTGAGGCCTAAAGGTCATTAATGCATGACAATTCAGCACTGGATACTTGCTGTCATGTCATGTATGTGTTAGCATTGGGCCACAGGAAGAAAGCCTTCTCTAGATGGGTCCTGTTTGACTAGTCTGGAGATCTTGTAGTAAGTCTCACACTGCACCATCAAATTGCTGCAAGGTTATTTACAAGTAAAAAATGTAGGAGATGCAAAAAAAGAATGCTTAGGAGCCTATAGGAGACTAAAGGAAGGAACGGTGAAGAAAACATCATTTTTTGATAAATGACCAAATTGTATTTTGTGCTGTTGTTGAATGCCATGAAAGAGATGGGATTATAAAGAGAAGAATGAAGAAGATGAAAATCCTTCTTTTAAATAGGGATGGGATGTGAGTTTCAAAGGATTTGTTGGGATTTTTTGTCTTTTGATACTGAGTTACAGAATGACTTCAAAGACCTCCTTCCTTATGGTATTTAAAGATACATTAAGAACTGGAGAAGTGGGAAAATGATTTTGAACTGAGATAGGGTTAGATATTAGGAGAAAGTTTTTCACTCAGAGGGTGGTGATGCACTGGAACAGGTTTCCCAAGGAGGTTGTGGATGCCCCATCCCTGGAAGCATTCAAGGCCAGGCTGGATGTGGCTCTGGGCAGCCTGGTCTGGTGGTTGGTGACCCTGCACATAGCAGGGGGGTTGAAACTAGATAATCATTGTGATCCTTTTCAACCCAGGCATTCTATGATTCTATGATTCTATGAAAATTGAAAATGGGAATAGTCATACATTTGCATCAATATGGGATGAACAGGTTGATCTGAAAAGGAAAATCAGCCTGTGAATCTAATTGTTTTTGTTGGTAGGGTTTTAAGAAGCTGTTGGTTGACAACCCATCAAACACAGGAAACAGGTACACAACTGGTGATGGCTGAAAGATGACTCTGAATGATTTAGTACAATATTGAAGTACAGCCATTAAACTGCAAATAAGATGCACAAAATTTACCCATAAAAGCAATCAGATCTCTAGATAGCATGTTCTCTGGCAGTGCTTTGGAATTTATCATAGGATCATTAAGGTTGGAAAAGACCACTAGATCATCAAGTCCAACCATCAACTCATCACCACTGTGCCCACTAAACCATGTCCCATGTGTCCACGTGAAAGAGGATTTGGTTTATTGATGCATATTTTGCTAAACTCATCATAGAGTGGGTTTCCTGTTATGTTTAATCTATTTGCATACCCTGACCTTTGGTACTCGTGACTTGGCAAGTCCATAGCGTGTTTGACAGTAGAAGGGTCCTGGTAAACCCTGTTGTCTTCTCTGATTACGCATTGTGTTAACTTCACTGGTGGGCCCCCTTCTCTTCCTGCAGGATGATCTCCAGTGCTGATGGTGCTATCCCTCCCCCGCCACGGGCTCCTGCCCCTGTTCCCCCAGGGACTGTCACCCAGGTGGATGTGAGAAGCCGTGTGGCAGCGTGGTCCGCATGGGCTGCGGAGCAAGGGGACTGTGAGTTGTGCTGCACTGCGCAGTGATAACCAGTTCTTCTGGGCAGTGGGGTTTTATGATCCTCAGTAATAACAAAAAATAATTCACAGGCTTCCATGAAGACGGCAGTAATTGAATGCAGATAGAGGAATTGCTGTACTAGGTCACCCCTCTGCCATAGCTTGGAGCGGGCAGAATTGTTCTCCCAGTCAGTTCAAAATGCCCTAAGCCACCATTGCCTGATCTGTGGAATAAGACCTGGCTGTCATAATCTGACTTGTCATTTACTTAACATTTTTCTGAATTTATGTTCAGAGCCCTGTTTACTTGTGTTTAGTTGGATGGGTCAGTGGGCTGTGGATTTTATATCGGGCTTTTATGTGAATGTAATAACAGGCACAGTAATCTGTATTGTCATAACTCTAGTAATTTAATGATGCCCTATTTAGTAGTAGGAAGTATGTTGGCCAGATATTTCAGACAATTAAAAAATACAATCACTTGGATTAAAAGCTGACTAGAGATGAACATTATGTATTTATTTATTCATCTGGGTATGGCTAACCTAGTTTGTATTTTTAAAGCCTTACCCAAGGAAAGCTGCAGTATTTCTGAATAATATTATTTTATAATCTCTAGTGGAAACATTCTATTTTAATCAGATTCCATTAAAAAAAGAATTAGAGACAATAAAGCTCTGTAAAACGGACCATAATAATGAAGTAATCATGGTTAAGGTGAGAGGTTTCTTTAAAAATGAATAGTAAAATTTTAGAATTACAATCATTACCCAAGACATATGCATTACTTTTGTTAAGCTATATCACTCAATTAAGTCAATAAATCAATTATGCAGGGAGAACAAACATTGTCAGAGAAATAAGAAACATTAAGAACGTTATCACCTACTAATCTGCACCTCTGCACCTACCTTGAGTAACAAACAGCAAGTTTGTTCTATTGTTTGACTTCTCTCTTTCTCTCAGGAAAAAAAAAAAAAGTAAAAAAGTTTCATTAATTTATTGAGTGGTCCATCATGGTCTGAGTTCCTACAGTTCCTTTTATTCCATTCATGTGGATCTTTCCTAAAATGTATTTACTAAGATCCCACCTATTAACAAAAGCCGTACAGAGTGTAGTGTGATTTAGAAATGCTAAACTTACTATTTCTCAAAGTGCTTTCCCTTATTGTTTTCAAGCATAAGTCACTGATTCTGTGCATTGTTATTTGGAAATGCATATTTTATCACATTGATATCTTCCATTTCTCTCTTGCCAGACTTGGTCATTCTGCCCAAATTTCCTATATCCCTTTTGCTTATTATCTTTTACATCAAAATTGTCTTCAAATTCGGGGCTACACTGTTACTTCTTGTCTGCTTCTACTGGGGTACCTCTCCGCATATTTTGCAAAATAGGACAATTTCTCCTTGCATTTTATTTATAATCTGCCATTTTCGTGTATATATATATATATATATATAAAGACCCTAGTACCATACTTCTGTAGTGTGGTTGATTTATACAGCTAAGCTGGCTTAAATCATACACCCAAGCTCTTTTGTAAGACTTGAAAGGATCAGGCATTAGGGTGCAGGTTCTTCAGTCCTTGCAAATTGAATGGTAAAAACAATTTTGTCGTTCATTTTCTTGCAGTAGAGGGGTTTCAAGCATAAGCTCTATAGGAGGTGTTGGTTTTTTTATTCTGCATAAATACTCATCTCATTCTCCTTTTCCCTTTTCTACAGATGAAAAACAAAGACAATACCCTGACCATGAGGAAACGGCAGAAATGATAGCAGCCAGGATTGACAGAGATGTTGTAAGTGAGAAACAACAAACGATATTGCTTAATTTCTGAGAAATTGTGTGGCTCTACTACTTGGGAAGTCTTTTTCCACTTGGAAATTCAGTTCTGGAGGAAAGCATGCTGGGTATTCACATTTGTGTGGTAGACCTCTAAATGAACATAAAGTAGTTAATTGTTATTACTACTTCTTCCCTGAAGGAAAAAGAAAAAAAATGGATGTTAAATTTTTTGCTGTGAAGAGACAGAAACATAAACATTAGTTTTGTGAAGACTAAATTTCAAAGAATACATAACAGTAAACTTAATTTTCTTCAATTTAGTGAGATGTAAATTTGTGCAATTTCCAGAACTAAGCATATGGTCATTTCTAAAAGCAGATGTACTATGCACTTGCGTAAGCTAACAATTTCTAGCCAAATCTAGGGCAGGTCCTATGGTGTATGCAGCATCAAATATTTCTTTGTTTGCTAGTTGTAACTTTCTACTTTACAGCATCAGGGGGCCTTGAGGGAAGCATGTTGGGGCCTGCTGAATTTGCTGTGTATGTGCTTCCCCAGGGGCTCCTTCTTTTTTCTGCATTTGCTCTTTGAAAATAATTCTTCAAAGAGCACTTCTCTGAAATAACATTCTGACATTCAACAAATAGCTTAATACTTTGTGCTAAAGGAGATTATGAAGTTATACGGGTTAGAAAAATGCTGTCCTACACAAATAATTAGAATTTTTTTCATGTGCTGTGAGAGAAAATTTAGTGTGTGAATGAACTGTGTAATTGAACTTAATAATCTTGATGCTTACATTTTAAAAACCTCTACTTGCCCAGAGTTTTGAGAATAGTCTAAGCTCCACAATACTTGACAGTTATGTAAAGTAAAGGATAAAATGAATCTAAATACATTGTGTTCTAGCGTGAACTTTGTACAGATGGAGCTTTTGGTGTCTGAGAGAGTAGTCCCTTTAACTTCTTGAGAATGTCAGTACAGTTTCAGTACTGAAACTGTTATTCTTCTTTTCTCCCATAGCAAATTCTGAACCATATTTTGGATGACATTGAATATTTTGTTACCAAACTTCAAAAAGCTGCTGAAGCATTTGCTGAGCTTTCAAAGAGGAAGAAAACTAAGAAAAGTAAAAAGAAAGGACCTGGAGGTAGGAATTCTTACAGTACAGAATTCTGTTTCTCTAAAGATCATTGAAATAGCTATCACATGTAGGTTTTTGTGTTGCTTTTTTTTCATAAATGTAGTAATGGTTTTTCACTTTAAGCACAAAAAGAGATAATACACACAGTATATTCTTAGAAATTAATTAAAAACTTTTGTTTGAAATCAGTGGCGAGTGACTGATTAGAGATGTGACTACAGAATATGTTCCCTGTAGTTGTTTTATATTTACAGCATTAAGTAAATTTATTAAGTATGTTTTATATGTTTATTATATCCATAATATTTTTAGAAATGATGTAAAATATGAATGGATGTTAAAAAAAATGTCAATTTATTTATCAGAGGGAGTTCTTACTCTCCGTTCAAAACCACCACCTCCAGATGAGTTTGTTGACTGCTTCCAAAAGTTCAAGCATGGCTTCAATCTTCTGGTAAGTAACTGCAGGTAGATGTGGTGTTTTAGCTAATGTTACATAGAACATGCTATTTGTTTTCCCTGTTGCTGTAAATTCATTTGAGCACTGCAGTGGTTTTCCTAGGGTCGTATTCCAGTAGTAGGAAGTGAAGAACTAAAATTCTGGTGAAAGTTGAAGAGAAGGAAGAATAACTACCACAGTAGATTTCTTTTTAGTTATTTTTAAGTTGGGTTTTCTTGGAGATTTCCGGCAGTTCAAGACAGTGTGGCTGCTTTATTGTTGACTCCTTACGGGAACTGCAAAGGCTATCTCTTTTTTGGAAAAGCAGTAGTTAAGTGTTCTGTCTTCTCTCTAACTTTCATAGTGCCTTGTCTGTGTAGAGAAACCTAGCAGACTTTAAATCCCTGCAGCTGTAAACCATGCAGAGATGATCAGATCATATGGGGAACTCTGAGCCTGAGTCGCGGCCTCCACTGCTCTTTAAAAAGGAACAGACCTAGAAATGTAATCCAGTTTGGTTTTTCCATTCTTACTTCATACTGCATTCTGCATTTAAATGATTTCTTTATCTAGCAACACTTGTATATAAAAATCTTTGTCTTCTGTGCGGGAGTAGAAGTAGTTCTTGTTTCAGTGCTGAGAAAGATCTGGGGTCTATTTTCTAACGCTGTTCATAATGCCATACCAATGCATTGCTTCAGTGTCATTGAAGAAGCCACAGAAGTTCGAAATTTCACTTCCTAGGGCTTTATGTCAGATATGGAGAGCTGTATAAAGAAGAAGAATCTAGTTTAGAAATAAAAGGAATAGCTCGAAGAATAAAATCTTTGCCAGTAGAATGGAAACTATTTTAAAACACTATGCTGGAAGCTCCTAGAAAATCACTACCATCTGCCAAAAAGAAAACTATAGAAAGACCAAAAGAAGGTTGTTATGTGTGAAGAACAATGTGTATAAAGTTATTAGCAGTACAAATACATCCTCTTTTTGTCTATATTTGGAGGCACCTCTGGAAGGATAAATGTAAAACTGGAATGAGGCTAGCTAAAAGGAGGTTGAGGAATAGACAGCAAGATGCAATAAAAGCTAATATAACTTTTTAAAATACTTTCTGGAATGCTTCTTACTTCCAGAGCCTATGATCACTAAATAAAAGAATCCTCCAAGAAGCCGTAGCAGAGAAAATATGCTTCTTTTCTTTTCTTTTCTTTTCTTTTCTTTTCTTTTCTTTTCTTTTCTTTTCTTTTCTTTTCTTTTTTCTTTTTTTTAATGTGTATTTTACTTGGAAAAGCTTGATGGTGGACAGTGCGTTCATGAAAATCATTTTTTATGGCTCCAGACTGCCTCCAGACTTAACCTCTTTAATGATCTCCTGTGCACTGATGAGCACCACATCCAGGAATGCTTCATCTTATGTTGGCTTGTCTAATACTTGGACCACGAAGTTATCCTCATTGGACTCCTTCAGGAGTCTCCTGAATTGCTTGCAGTCTGCCTTGTTGCTTTCCCAGCAGACATCCAGGTGATTGGAGTCTCCCATCAGGATGAGAGCTTGCAAGCGTGATGCTTCTTGCAGCTGAAGCAAGGAGGCCTTGTCAGTAGGCTCCCCTTGATCAGGCTGCCTGTAGTAGATCCCAGCCACCATATGTCCTTTATTGGTCTGTTTTTAACCCAAGCTCTCAAACTTATAATGGCTGTTTTCTGGAGACGGCTCTTTGTAATCTGTGCTCCTCTTAGCATAGAGGGCAACTCTCCCATCCCTCCTATCCTGCCTATCTTATCTGAAAAGGGAATGTTAAGAGCCATTGAGAAGAAAAGACCAAAAAATAAGAACAAATAAGGAGCATCAATATACCATTAGGTTCACTGACTTTATCTTGTTCCCTGTATAGTGAAATTGAAGAAGGTGGAAGAAGAACAAGAGTGCTCTAAGAAATTATTATAGACTTTTCTTCAGTTTGGAGAAAGATGAAAAAGAGGGAGAACGTAATAAATCTGTGAATGGTTATGAGAATCACTGGAAAAAGTGAGGAAAGAATGATTGCTCAATTTTCTTTTGGAAAAGAACTGCAGGGTATTAATGAAACCAAGAGGTGGTATATTTCCAAATAAGATGCTTCTTGACAAAACATACAATTGAATTGTACTTCTTATTTGCACAATATATGCTAACACTTACATGGATTCAAAAGCAATTGTATAAATTTACTGAAGAGAAGAATCCATCAGTGATTTTTAACACAAAACAATAGTATTTTGTACTTTTAGTTGAAGAAGTCCCTGAGAAAATTGCTGGGGAATTTATAAGAATTTTTCTCAGAGATTTTATGTTTGCCTTGTTCCTTCTCATACTTCCCTTAACACTTTCTCTTAGCTGATGTTGGAAACAAAGCATACAACTTAGATGGACCTGTGCTCTCACTTGGGACAGTCATTTTTACCTGAAGTATTTATTGTCATAAAAGTTAACTGTATCTTAAAATTTGTCATTTTTCCTTTACCTTAGGCCAAATTAAAATTCCATATCCAGAATCCTAGTGCAGCTGAACTGGTTCATTTTCTCTTTACCCCACTACATATGGTAAGCTTTTGTAATTTTTTAGGTATTTTCCTTCAGAATTCTTATACTTGTATGATCTAAAATCTTTCCAAGAATGATGAGATTTAAAATTGTCCCTGGAGAGCTACTGTGGCAAAATGTGTATCCAAGGATGAAGATTTCTTTGGAAAACAAGTTTTATCCTTTTTTGCATGTTAACATCTGTCATATGTGTATATATATATGTTTAAAATATCTTTAACTTTCTTTGTATTGCAGTTAGCCATTATAATTTTAATAAACAAACCAAATAAAGAAATAATTTACATCATGCACGAGGAGAGTTGGAAGCATAACCGTGTGCCAATTCAATTAAAATATGTGTCATTTCAATTAGTAGATTAAAATAACATTGACAGAAGTGGGTCTCAGTATAAAGGTGACCAGAACAGCAGTACTGCAATAAATGGTTTTACTTCATCCATCCACAGGACTTAAGAACAAGTTAGCTTCTCAGAATTTGTTTACTTGTTGAGTAGTAAATGTTTTATACCATTAATGTAGGTAACATATTCATTGTAACTTCCTTTTTATTATGTGTGTATTCTTTGTATTATTTTAATATTTTGATTTAGGTGGTGCAGACAACAGGAGGTCCAGAGCTTGCCAGTACAGTACTAAGTCCCCTCCTAACAAAAGATACCATAGACTTCCTACAGTATACCGTCACCAGCGAGGAAGGGCAGTTATGGATGTCATTGGGTGACACATGGACCAAAGCCAGGTGAGAAGAAGTTCATGGTTATTGACACAGTCTTAACTAGATGATCTTCACAACCATTCTTTAAACTCTTTGGAAAGGAGCCCTTTAGCCTCACTGGGATTTGGAAATGGCTAGGTTTTAGGCATGGAGGGAGCAAATACAGACAGAATTTTTTTTTTCCTTCGTAGAATAAGGACTAGAGACTAAATTTTGTAAACTTATACCATCTTTTTTTTTCTGTTTCATGCTTCCAGTTGCTTTCCACCCTTATTTTCACAACCCAATCAGTCTGAAATTGGTTAAAAAATCAGTTGGAAGAAGTTGCAATAAAGAATGAAAAAAATATGTAAAAGAGGCTGCAGATTTCTATTTTCAATTTCAATGCTTCTTTAAAATTATCATAATGCCATAAGGAAAGTGCTTAAACTTTTAAAGAATGTTTATGGGCTTATTTGTGTTACATCTGCATACTCATAAAAGTTCCATTGAATTGATTTGCTATTGCAGTTAGATTTCACTGCAATTTACTTTGTTTATGTATTTGTTATTTTGAGGTGTGTATACGGTTTGAAATTACCTAGCTAAGTAAAAAAATGCAAAATATGATTAATAAAATGTGTTTTAACTCTAGTATATGGTAGATGAGAACACGTGACAATGACTAAGCATGCAAGCATTTGGACTGGAAAAGTGCCAAGTATTTTCAGTTTACTCATCTTTCTCTTGGAATCTGAATTCGGGAATAAATATCTACTATGTGGCTTTCTTACTTTATCAATTAATTAACCAATTAAAATGTTTGTGGTTTTTTTTTTTTGTTTGTTTTTGTTTTTAAGTGATTATGAAGTAATAACAATAAATTGAGTGTTAGGAATCTACATGGAAAGCTGTAGAACACAAACTGAAAAGCATCCTCAGAGCAGGAAGTGTGATGTACATGTGCCTTTCTTGATCTCGTTCTGCTGCTGGACCAGGACATTCAAATTCATCCTTTGGGCCTGCTGTTCAGCCTGCTATTACAGAATGGGCTAGAGACATCAATTATAGATCCTTGTGATTGCCAGAGTTTTGATCACAGCAAAGCTTACCTACTCAGAGCTTGCTGGCTTCACAGCAGCTTGGGATGGGCTCACTGTGGAAATCTGCATAGCACTGGAGCCTATTGCAAGGAAAATGGATTGTTGTGTAAAATATTGGGCTTCTCATCTTAGGAAATACCTTAATAATTCATTTATTCCATCCTGAAAAAGTGTAATTGAAAGAGAAGTAGCTCATGCTGCACAAAGAATGCAGCACTTAGAATATGAGTACTTGACCTGTGAAGATTAGAAATCATAGTTTGTCTGATCTCAATATGCAGAGGTACATTATGGAGCAGTTTAATAAGATGTATGATTGTTGAAACACGAGGGTTACTGACCTAGTTCAAGCCTGCCAATGGGCTAATAATTGCTGACTGGTCCTGCAAGTTGTGTGACTGGCAGCATGTGCCCCCTAATTTTGAACAGTGTCAACAGTGAGACTAAGACAATGTAATGTATGTTCCCATTTCTTGTTCCACTGTGAAGATACAGTAATTTATTTTGCAGGAGGGTATGTCATGCATGGTGCAAAGGCATGAAAGGATTAATTTAGGTACTGTGTATTACATTAAAAAATGGGAAGGAAGTGCTAAAAAGTAATAGACTATTCTAAGATTAAGCTTAACTATTAAACAGTAAATGCGAAGATAATTCTTGTGCCCTGAAGAATGCAGAGATGTTTGTATTACACTATAAGCTATCTATTGCCTAACTCCTTCCTTAAGGTGTAGCTCAGCCCCCTGAACTTCTTTGCTTCATGCAAAGGCTGCTCCAAAAGTAATGCCTCCTATTTTATTATATTGGCCCATGACATCAGAGGTGATATTGGTGGTGTGACAGTAGAGGTTGAACCTTCCCACCAATATTCAGTTACATTTTGTTGCTGCGTGACAGATGGCAGCAGAGGGGCAGTCTGACAAAATGGCATTTGACATGGAAGTGCGTATGAAGCAAATGTGTCACTGAATTCCTCCACGTGGAAAAGAGAAGGATCTGGGGGTCTTGATAGATGAAAAACTTAACATGAGCCAGCAGTGTGCCCTTGCGGCTTGGAAGGCAAATGGTATCCTGGGCTCCATCAACAGAGGGGTGGCCAGCAGGGACAGGGAGGTGATTGTTCCCCTCTACTCTTCTCTTGTGAGGCCCTATCTGGAGTACTGCGTCCAGGTCCGGAGCCCCCAGTACAAGAAAGACAGGGAGCTGTTGGTGAGGGTCCAGAGGAGGGCCACAAAGATGATCAGAGGGCTGGAGCACCTCCCCTATGAAGACAGGCTGAGGGAGCTGGGCTTGTTCAGCTTGGGGAAAAGAAGGCTGCGGGGTGACCTCATTGCAGCCTTTCAGTACCTAAAGGGAGCCTACAAAGAGGAGGGGAATCAACTCTTTGAAAGGGTGAGTGACAGCAGGACAAGGGGAAATGGTTTTAAGCTGATGGAAGGGAGATTTAGGTTGGACGTCAGGGGGAAATTCTTTACGGAGAGAGTGGTGAGGTACTGGAACAGGCTGCCCAGAGAGGTTGTGGATGCCCTATCCCTGGAGGTGTTCGAGGCCAGATTGGATGGGGCCTTGGGCAGTCTGGTCTAGCATTAGGTGGAATGGTTGGTGGCCCTGCGTGTGGCAGGGGGGTTGGAGATTCATGATCCTTGAGGTCCCTTCCAACCCTGGCAGTTCTGTGATTCTGTGATTCTGTGAAGATGGCACCCATAGGAATTCAGTGACATTACTTACTGAACATTTCTGAAGACCAAACAGTGAATGTGAGCAGTGATGTGGTGAGTGGTGCATTTCAGCAGTGGTGACAGTGAGCATGAGTCGTCTCCACTGGTGCAGATTTTTTTGAGCATAGCATGCAGGCTGTTCATCGCTGGTGAAAATGCATAGCTAATGGTTGTGACTATGTTGAAAAAATGGTATTTTTGTAGCTGAGAATTTGCACTATCAATCAGTTTTATTGTGTTCTTTGTATCTTCTATAGTTTCCATGGGAATAAATAGGAGGTGTTACTTTCGGAATGACCTACTTATGTACTTTCAGTCTTTCATATAAAGTAGGCAGTTTCTTTGAAGTCTTTTGTTTGGTTCTTTAATACAAACAAAACATTGCACAGCAATTCTTTCCTATCTAACAGTTATAACAAATCTCAGATGTGCTTGTGATTGATTCTTCTATTACTCATCCTTTGCTGCAAGCCAGAAATTTGTTGTTTTAGCACAGACAAGTCATTATGGCAGGAACAGTTTGCTCCTCGCTGTGCCTTGCAGAAAAGTAGTTATGGACAATAAATATTTTTTGTAAATTTTCTGTGGTCTAACACAATCATGTCTGTACAGTAATCCCAGCCACTGTTCTTTACTATGATATTAAAACGTATTTCATTTTTTAGGAAGTCTATGAAAAGTGTTTTTATGACCCTTGATAAAGATCTCTAATTTACTTTTCATGCAGAGCGGACTGGCCCAAAGACCAGTTCATTCCACCTTATGTTCCTCGTTTCCGAAATGGTTGGGAACCTCCTTTGCTGAACTTCATGGGAGCTCCAAATGAGCAAGAACTCAATAATTTGGCTGAGTCTGTGGCAAACTTTGCAGAGCAACAGCGGAAGCAAGAAATAAAAAGATTATCAACTGAGGTAGGTTAACTGAGAGTGTATTGTAAGTTGCTGAAAAGCAGAATCAACTACTTCTTCATAGAAAAAAATCTTCTGGGATGCTGTCAGAGTGTCTCTCTGCTGCATCAGTGCAGGCTCAGAAAAGCTATATGAAACCAAATATCTGTTCAGCCACCAAAATGTGAGTAGGAAAAATAGAAGGATTTTGCCTACTGCCCTGTAAAGTTGAGTTCATCATGTACTGTTTATCAGATTTTGGGGGATGGCTTTCTCTTGCAGCGCAACTCTTGTAAGTCTTCTTGGAGACCAAAAAGCTTCCCTAGCAAAAGTATAGCAAAACTACCTGTGAAAAAGCTGTAACAAACTTTATTTTGATGAAAATTTCCACTTAAAAGCATACAGTACATAAAAATTTAGCCAAGCAAAGGAGGCTAGTGTGATTCATGTTTGATTACTAAAAGCACTGCTTGTCCTTCTACCTAAAAGGATTCACAAGAATAAATACACCCTAATTTTTCTCTCTCTCTCTATATATTTTTTTTTAATTGAAAAAAGCATTTACAGGGTTAATGGCCATAATAACATGAAACGTACCTGTCACCCTCATCCAATTCCATACTCATCTCCCAAAAAAGCCTCATCAAACATTGTTTCACAGCTGCTTCTACATTGCCATGTGTTTTGTTTTTTTTTAAGTTGTGCTCCCTGTAAATTAAAAACAGCAACAACAACAACAAAACCCACAAACCAAAACAACAAACAAAAATCACAGTCCTTTCTCCACTTTAATCATGTGAAATGTGCAAAATAATATTGAAAAATAGGGGTAGTTTTTTTATGGTTTGATTATTAATGAAGATGAATACTACATATATTGAATTAGCGTATAAGTTGAAATAATTATTTTGAGGGGGCAGATAAACTGAGGTGTTTTGGTTGGATTGGTAGGTGTGCTGACTCTGCCATTTAGCCTTCAAAAGATTAAATAATAAGAGTAATAATAATAATATTAATAATAAAAATAACGATAATCATCATAATAGTCATAATTCATTGAAGGCATCTGTGTGACTGGCACCTGTGATGCCAGACCTTGGTTTCATGATTCCATTCACGATGAGTAGGTCATTTAACCTTGGTACTCTGACTTCTCGTGCCAGTGCCTCCTTAGCACATCCCTTAGTGGAGAAGTGCTGAGCTGCTCCATGGCTGTGAATTGTGTTAGGTGCTCAGCTGGAAAAGCTGCGCCAGTGCAAAGTGTCTGCAGCAAAAGGAGCTCTGTGGATTGGGTGATGCCAGGAGAATTATTCTTCTATAAGTCTGTCGCAAAAGCTTATTTAACAAAACAGTGCTGGAAAAATGAGAGCGAACTGCTTTTTCCTGAGCAGCATTAACAGAGGGATGGTAAGCAGGGAGTGGGAAGTAATTCCCCACCTTCAGTACTGCATCCAGGCCTGGGTCCTCCTGCACTAGAAGGATATGGACCTGCTCCAACATGGAGCTGTTGGAGCAGGTCCAGAGAAGGCCATGAAGATGATCAAAGGGCTGGAGAGCCTCTCCTGTGAAGTTAGGTTGAGGTAACTTGTTCAGCCTGAAGGAGGCTCCAGGGAGACCTCATTGTGGCCTTCTAGTTCTTAAAGGGAGCTTATAAACAGGAGTGAGATCAACTTTTTACGCGATCTAATACTGATAAGACAAGGGGGGATGGCTTTAAACTAACAGAGGGGAGATTTAGGTTAGATGTTAGGAAAAAAATTGTTACTCATAGGACGGTGAGGCCCTGGCACGAGCTGCCCAGGCCAGGTTGGATGGGAGACCTGGGCAGCCTGAGCTGCTGGGTGGCAGCCCTGCCCACGGCAGGAGGTTGGAACTGGGTGGGCTTTGAGGTCCCTTCAATTCAGCCATGTCAGGGAGCTGACAAGGAGCTGGAGAAGAGAGTTCAACGAGTCTGAGGCAATGCAAGTAATTTCTGTGTAAAGTAAAAACAAGTTCCTGCTTTCTGCAGGTCTTCTGATCTGAGATATAAAGTCAGTGACACTTGAGGGATTTTTTTCTAAGAGGTTTTAATAATGTTGCTTTTAAGAATAGTCTGTCCGTAGATTTTGTTTGTTTGTTTGTTGTTATTCCCGTGTGGTTTTTTTTTTACTGTTTTCAATTTCACAAACACTGAGTCCCATTGGCGAGAGTCTCTGGGTGCCAGGTCAGTACTCAGAAGTGAGTGGGCTTTTTTGTAGCCACATAGCAAGAAAAAAAGCCAAGGTTTAGGGATCTGGTGATGGCTGTCAGCTGTTCTATCTCATTGTGCAACTGAATGGTGTCATGAGATAAAGATCTAAAATGGACATCATCAATTTCATAATCTCTGTAAATGAGCCACTTATTTTATCTTTAGGGAAATGGACATTAAAATAATTCTTAGTAGAAGCAAAGTATCATTGCTGGGTTTAGAGCTGAATTTTTTTTGAAGGACTGCTGCTCAAAAGGAATTTTCTAAGGGTTTGAATATTCTTATATGTATGCTTGTAATAAATTGTGATTGTTTTCTTTCATTAAAATCCTTAATTACAGAGTATTACCTTTTTTTTTTGCATTTCTTCTTTGACTTCAACCATGTTTAGTAAGAGGATAACTAACATAAATGAGCCAATTGATATTATGATCCTGCAATGGGATGATAATTTTACTTGGAAGCTTTTATTTCTTATATAGATGTACGTTTAGCTAGCTGAAGTTTTCTGGCTTAGTGGCCATTAGAACAGAAGCTCAGAGCAGCTTCTTAGTGCAGTTTATTTTAAAGCCACTCAGGCATTCCTTATGACCTGTGTTGCTGTAGCAATATGTAAGAGAGGACATGGACCTTGCCCCGGAGAACTGCTTTTTCTAAAGAATATCCACTGCAATATTAATGCAGGGGATGGCAGGGGATGACTTAGGGTAGAAATTCTTTTATTCTTATCCTTTTGATCTCTCTGTGTACGTATTTGAAATGCAGAATCTATTAACTTTTCATAGCAGAACTGTGAGCCTCTGAGAGCAAGGCCATGTGAGTGCTGGCAAGGGTGCGCGGTGCTATGGGTCAGGGGAAGCAGCACGATGCAGTGCACGACACTAATCCCCTTCCTGGCTTTGTCTTTGTTTTGTCTTGCAGCCTCCCAGTGTTCCCGACTACCCTCCGGCCGATGGGTACGCATTCAGTAACACAGTGTACAAAAGAGGGCCTCTGCTGGACCAAGGGGCAGCTGTTGCTGCCTTTAAGCAAACTGTTAGCCGCCATGTAGATAGGTAACACTGAATCAACGGCGTACGTGGTGCTGTGGATAACTGTCCCGACTTACTGACTTGTGGCTTTTGGGGTTGGTGGTGTCTCTGTTGGCCTCAGGTTGTGCCGGGAGCAGACCCATATTTCTGTAAGGCAGCTGCTCTGACTGCAGCAGGTGTCTGCCTGTGCTTCTCCAAGGCACATCCATATGGCTCTTTCAGTATCATTTCTATGAATCTACTGTGTTCGTGTATGCTGTGAAATTCATGCTCTTGTCAAAAATGATATGGTGGAATTCTAACTTGATTAAGGACACAAAAATCTCCCGTTGGAGGATGTAAATTTTATTTCTGCTTTTGTTTCACTTTTTTAAAACTGTTCTTTGCTTTTTCTTTTTTTTTTTTTTTTTTTTTCTTTTTTGAACTGCAAATAATGACAAGTCCACTCTGAGATTTATCTGTTTGTGTTCTGAATGATTTTTGATTTGTTGAGCTGCTCACTTGCTGCCCGCTTAGCATCCTGCTTCGGGTATTCTGGGCCAGTGCATAACTGCCCATGTCTACTGACTAATTTTTTCTTTCATTCTTGCTATGATCAAAGCTCTGAAATGTTTGCATAGCAACCAGGATCTTTCTGCACACACGCTTTCATCCTCTTCATTTTAGCCTAAGTCTGATTACCTTAATGGTGAAACTCACTGATCCTTGGACTCTCAGCCCTGTCTGCGTGGAAAATTTCTGCCAGTGAAATTACTGTGAAAGTAAAGTGGTGATGGGATTGATCCCCCATGCCAAACTATGTTTGTTATACATCCTTACATGAGCAGTAGTTTAACTGATTTCCCATGGAAGGTGCTTAAGCTATGTTTTGGGTGTCATATTGCTAGTAAAAACAGCATTGATGTGATTCTGTTGACACAAACCTTTGCATAACCTCTAATTCTGAGCTGTTTGCTAGAAGATCCTGTTGTTAATCTGCATGCAAACAAATGGTGTGCAGGGTGAAGACTCCATTGTTTTCCTGAACATTGTTTTCCTGAACATCCTGAACTCTTTATTACAACAACAGCCATAGTAATAATCTCTAATCATTTTCTCAATCTTGGTTACTTCCGGAGTTCTTGTCTGAGGACCACTCAGCTTGAAATCTAAATGATCTGCACTCAAAATTCCTTTCTTTTTTATCTGTAATGTGATAAGACCTGTTTTGTGCTTTCAGAGTAAGACTTTTCTTTGCAAAGGCTGCTACCTCTTTTTCAAGTTTAGAGAATGGGACTATTGCATTGCCCTACTGATGGTATCAGTGTAACTGGCCACAGATGAATGAGTCATCCAAGCTTCCTTAGTAGCAAGTAAAGAGAAAAGAGCATTTCGTGTCGGGTGAACCAGTTCACGTCAGGTGAAGTCAATCTTTTGAAAGATGTGAAATGAGACATGCTGTGGAGGTACCTGCTTCTCACCACTGACAGTAGGAGGGAGTCTAGATGGCTAGTACTGATGCAGACGTGTACAGTGAGCCACTATGCCCCTGTCCAGCCCAACGTGAACTTCCTTTTATTAATTGGCTCTTGAGACACATAACATATGCCCAGTAGGAGCTGGTTACTGAATGAAAGCTATTCATATGCATTACCCTAAGTAAATTCCATTTGAAGATAAATTTTAAAGCACCTATGAATAAGCAAGTGCAGAAGTGGGTTTGGGGGAGGGAGTGAGAAATAGAAGCTGAATATTTCAGCCATCATTTTCTGGTGCTTATTGAAAGCTGGCTTTCCTTATGAGCAGTCTGAAGACAGTGACCGAGCCACCCTGTGTCTGCAGAGGGAAGGTAGGTTATGCATTGTCCAAGGAACTTGTAACCACAGGAACCTTCATTGAGTTTTATTCCAGTGTGCCAGGACCTCCAGTAAGGCATGCTTTCTTTGGATGACTTAGACTAAGTGTCAGGATCTTAAACTTCAAGCATGTTACTAGCTATACCAGGGGCTCTCTTTGATGCTGAAAGAGTACTGAACTGTTTTTTCAGTAAGTTATATCATGTTTCAAATTCATATGCCATGTAGTTTGTTTTTGTGCTGTTGTTTGTGGAATAACACCTTGGGACCCCATGCAATCCATCAGCCTCTCGTGCAGCCTTGAGGGGGATATCTGTGCCCCAAGTAAACTGCTTGGCTCATTAAGTTAGGTTTGAAAAGTTGTGGTCTCTTCATAAGTGTAGAACCACTGTCCAGCTGATGTGCTGGGGATGCAGCTTTTGATTTTTTTATTTTTAATTCTTCCTGAGTTATGTTGTATGGAGGGATCAGGTTAGATAGCTGTGGACAAGTTAGGAAGACAGAGTTAGTAAACTGAATTTGGAAAGGCGGTGTAAAAGTAAAACTACTCTCAGAGGTGTGTTAGTCATAGCACTTCAAAATTGTATAAATTTTGAGTGGGTGGCTGAAAAAATTGGGATTACTCACACATCTCTAAACCTCGTAACAGGTATTCTGCAGACTGTGGTTCATCCCATGTTTTCCATTCTCTTCTTTAAGTGCTCAAAGTCTTTAAGTGTTTTATCTTTCTTTCCAAATAATACATTTTCAATCTAAATATGACTGTTCCTTTGTTCTGTTCTTCAAGTCAAGTGAGACAGTTCTCCACAGCCATGCAATAGCTAGGTAACTACTGGATTGCTGACACACCTGGGATCCGTGGTTACACAGCACAAACATCAGCAACCATCAGCATTTGCATCCCTATGCTGTGATGTTGTATGGCAAGCCCTTGTTTGTGCAACGTTTTAACTGTTGTGTTGTTGTTTTTTTAATTTTATTTTTATTGATTTAACTTTACTGCTTGATGTAGATTTGGGTTGTTGGGTGTCATTTGCAGGTGAATAATGTTACTTTTTCTTTTGGATGTGTTTTGAGGGGCTTGGGGGATTTCTCAATTTGAAGAGGTTGCACATTAAAGAAACTAGTAACTTGTTCCTCAAAGGCTACCTGAACAGACCTTTCCTCAAAGAAAAGAGAGATGCTGAAGTATACTGTGGTATGCTTAATTCTTCAATGAACTCTGTTATTAACTGCCCAGAAGTGATTCTACATTTATAATTGATGCAATAATTTGAGGTTCTTAGAGGTAATGCTGTCTAATGGACAATTAAGAGAAATGGCCAACAGAGGAAAGCGTTTTTAAAATAGGATTTAGTTCCATTGATATCAGTGTCCATTGTGACTTGAAGCTTTATTTGTAATAAATACTAGCAATACAATTTTGTGCAAAGCAAGAGATATCAAGTATATCTATTCATTAGTATGGCAAATGATCATTTAATCTTCTGTTCTTCTGTATAGGAAAACAGACTAAATGTAGAGTGCATATTTATCTTAACACAATGTCAATTGCAAATCTGATATCTGATTTGGTATCATACATATTGCAAGAAGTGGGCCAAAAAAGTTATTGATTTTAGAGGTTCATGCAACTCAAACACTTTTTTTTTCTTTTATTTTTTTGTTGTATGAATATTTAGTCAATATCATTTGAAGAGAGAATTCTGTAACAGCTATAAGCTATTTCCTTTTCTTTGTTTAAATGTTTTGCAGCTGGTTGTCTGTGGTTTTACTTGCTTGAACTGAATGTCTGATCTTTGCATTGCAGAAACTATGAAGCACACAATAAAACACAGTCCAAGAAATATGCCAAATGCAAGTATGAATTTATGGCAAGAAACAACAGTGAGCTTTCTGTCCTGAAAGAAGAGATTGTAGAGGTAACATTTTTGCAAAAAGAAAACATGAATTTATGATAGTTATGACTCATTTCTCTAGAGACCAGTGCTGTAAATATAATTGTGCATTTCTTCTGTCTTCTCTAGTATAGCTTTTGAAGCATCATTCAGTAGTATATACATAATTGGCTCTGGCAAACACTACACGCCTATGCATGGGGCAGAGTGAAAGACCATCCTGGAAAGCATTGGTACCCTGAGAGGCAGATAAATGTAGAAAGGAAGAAGAAACAGAAAAAAGTGTTTAGTGAGACTACACTCAAGTAGCCAGAACCCAGATTTCTGCTATCTGTCCTGCCCTAGTTTTTTCCTAAATCAGAAGTGCACTCTCTTCATATTTGTATCATCTTTTTGTTGGTCTTTTAGTAGTTTCTCCTTTAGTCAGCAGCATGTGGGCTATAGAGATACAAGCCTCTCTGTACAAATACTTGATTTTAATTCTGTTGTGTTGTCCTGCATGTGTCTGAGTTTACACAGGTTTATTTTACTTCCATATCCTTTCTACCGTGTAGCATTAGTTACAATGATAATCAAGGAGGCCTATAGTAGTTTCCTGGTGACATCAGCACAAGGTCTGTTGGCAGTCACAGAACCTGGCTATGATTTTGTTTGGAAATGATGCACAGTGTAAGTGCCTTCAGAAAATATATGTAATTATTTTAACAAATTATTTCAGATTCTGGATGATAGAAAGCAGTGGTGGAAGGTCCGGAATAAAAGCGGCAACACAGGCTTTGTGCCAAACAACATTCTGGACCCTCTGAGGAATTATGAAGGTGGTCTGGGATTGCCAGAACCTGTGTACACCCGCACCATTCAGGTATGGTCTGCTTGGTAGAAGAGAAGCTTTTTATTGAAGTACATAAAGAGAAGGAGATTCACAGCAAAGCTAAAATGTCTGCACAGCCTACCAATAAGTCAAAAGGTTTATATTTCTTTTACAGGCTGAAGTTCATTTCTTTATTGCATAAAGTATAACAAGAAAATAGAGAGATAAAGTGAAATAGAAAAGTGGCAAAATAGAAATATAGCAAAGTAGAGATATAGAAAAATCTTTTCCTGTAAGTTTTTTCCTTGCTTATTTACTAAGAGGTAGTAATTTCCATCCTAATGGATGCTTATGCATTTATTTTAATTGCAAATATCCTTTGTGCATTGATAGCTGTTGATGCCAAAGAAGGAGTTTGAATTATTTAAGGTAGGGTCATCTTTGTGCCTTCTAAGAGAGTGAACACTGGCTTTTCTTTTTTATTTTCTCTCTTTGCATGTGTTTCTATCTTTGTCCTAAATGTATTTAATTGCTGCGATTTCAGAATTATAAAAAGCAGATGTTTTTACTTTTGAATTCACAATGCAGGTATTTTCAATTATTATCCCTGCGCATCATCAGCACTTTAGTCTTCTGACCTAATTTTGATTTTCTTTCTTTCATGTTATGGTATGGAATTAACATTGTTCTTTTTGTTTCATATATGTGCTGAAAATAATTAGAGGATAAAATATTCAAAAACTAAAGCAAAGCAAAGAAACAACACTCACCTTGCCTACACCTCCACCCTCCAAATGGTCTTACATCAGTGCAATTGTCCACCATTTTCAAATGATTTTAAAAACTGTGCAAATACATCAGGATTAAGCAGAAATTCCAGACTTGACTCTCAATGAGACTTTCAGACCAAGCAGATGCCAAACTTCTGTTAAAACTTGAATTAAATTTTATTTCATGAAATATTCATTTCTTCTGTCTACAAACACCAGCTGATGATTGAAAAACAAGAAATGCTGTGTAGCAGCCTGTATTGCATACTCATCTAAAAGCTCCAGCTGAAGGTGCCACTGTGCCAGATGATGTGTGCAGAGCTATGTTGAAAGCTGCAACTTTTACAGTGTTTCCAGTCTTTCCACAGATATGGAAAGTCGCTTGAGAAATGGGTCTTATGTTATTTCTGGCACAGTCATGGCTGACATATCTTGAGATTGGTGGGCTTTAGTCAGATCACTTCTGAGTTTTTCCTGTCCTTAACAGTTTGCCAGTGATGTGTGAGCTCTTTCAAAACTGATTTGTCTTTTTAGCTCTGTGTGAAGTGAAGCATGTATCTGGAGTGCTTTTCAAATCCCAATTTAAGGGGCTGACTTATTTTCTTTAAATGCATGTTAATTCTGTGTGTTTGGAATTTGCCAGGAAATATTCAGCAGACTGAATGAGTACAGAACTGAGTAGAGCTTCTCATACTGTATTTTTGTTGAAATGCTCTTCAGATTTTGAAGCTTTCTGTTTAAAATAATTGCATGACATGGGAAATAGTAAAATAATCACTTTCACCAAGCATTCTCCATGAAACTATGAAAATTAGGGACGGAGAACAACACTGAAGATAATTTTGGCTCTTCCCCTCTGGCAGGATGTTCCCTATAGTCTGTTGTTTATTTTGGTTATAGCTTTAGCATATTCAAATGTGAGCTTGAAGTGCTGTGAAACTATTTAAGAATATAATGCATTACACAGGATAAAGGAGTTTTTACCAAGCGTGTCAGTAATGTTGTTATCAACTTTGCTGTGATTATGATACACTTTTCAGAGTACTGCGTGTGCTCATTCATCTTGTTCTCTGTGATAGATACACGGTTCATTTGGGATCTCTTTGCATAACCCTATTTGTTTTCATAACAGTACTATGAGACATCGCTGCTATTTCAGAGAGAAATGAGGCACTGAAGGGATTAGTGCCTGGCCCAAGGTCAAACAGGAGAGCTTGCGGGCAGAGCAGTGAGCAGAAGCTCTTGCTGTCAGTGCCTTCTCAAGACCCTGGAAATGAGAAGGCTCTTAGTGCCAGGCTGTGTGCCTTCAGTTTTCAGAAAGCTCCTTTCTAAGTGGTGTGTCAGCTGTGGTGAGCAGCCTGCTCCACTCTGCGGTGGATGAATGACATGTACAAGGGACACGGCCTTCAATCCATTGCTGGCCAAAACAGATTTCCATATTATTATGAAGGATTAAGGATTCAATTGCAAGAGAACACCTTTTCTTTCTGTTATTCTCCATACTGATACCTTTTCTCTGAGAGCTGGATGCCTGATTATCATGACTATTCTTAGAGCTGCAAAGTTTGTTTTACTCTCACTCTGTTCCCTTGGCTAGGAACTCATGAGTCCTTGTGGCAGATTAGATTCTAATTTTTCTCTCGATCCCTTTCAGGATCTAGATCCCAGATAGGATCAGTTCAGTGCTTTCACGAAAGTACAGGCGACACCTGCAAGAACTTTGCAAGCAATATCTCAGTAATTTCATCATCTTTGTGAGGCTGTATTAATACATTGTCTTTCTTCTGATTAGAAAAATATACATATATATGTATATTTATCTGGCATTTTATCTCTAGTAAAACTGTCTCATTCAGTATTTCTGTACATTTAGTAGATCATTTTGATGTGTTTTTTTTTTAATCTTCCACTACTGTTAATTATATGCTCTCAGTTTCCTTTGTTGTTGGTCATTTAGTCTGCTTCTTTATTTTAAAGCAGCATAGTTTACCAGCCTCTACAGATGAGCATCAAGTTTTCAAAGTACTCAAACTTCTCCTTATGTACCAGTTTTTCTGGTGAACTTAATAATTAATAATAATATTTCATATTTGCTGTGCTTTTTATTTATTTTCAATGCTTTTTAGAAATATGAGAAACATAATTATGATAGAGATGTGTATCTTGCTGAGTGTGATAATTAATCTCATGATACCCTTTGTGAGGTGAGGCAGCTATTTTCTCAGTGACATACATAGAATCCTGAGGCACAGAGAGTAAATGTTAAGCCAAATGCAGTCCTATAGTCTTATTTTAATAAATCTTGTACTGTCACAGTTCTGTGGATAGTTATCCAGGAGCCCTGATTCTTGTATGTAAACAGCAAACGTCTCTACCTCATTTGGGACAAATGACCTCCGTGTTTGTTGGCAATCTTCCCTCAAGTCTCTTTTGAGTCTCTTTGTTTAGCAGTTCACTGAAAATATCTCTCTGTGGGAATTTGTTTTCTCTCAATCACAGTATTTGTGCTCCAAGTTAGTGTCATAGAGTCATACTCATCTTTTGCCAACTGGTATCTTTCCTGCTGATCATATTTGATAATGAAAAGATGCAGTTGCCAGGTGTTCATTTTGTCGTGGCCAAAGAGATGTCCTAATTTTTGATCATGGGCCAGTATCTTTTTTACTTTGTTCATATGGAATGCTCTTTAAAGTTGCCATCAGATCAAGTCCTTCTGATGGCTTTTAAAGGAAGGCAGTTCTCTGTCCAATTTGACATTGATCCAATCCCAGATTATGAGCTGACACTTATTACACAGAAATGTACTTGAATAATTGTAAAAAGTACATGATCCATGGTGAGAATTGAAAATCCACAGTGTGCCTCCCTATCATATATATTTTTGTAAGAAATGGAGGCTAAGCATGGCTAATACTAATCTGATTAAGTAAATTCTGTTCAAATTTCTCCTTTTTGCCTTCTAATACACATTTTGGCAGAGAAACATAAATTTCTCATAATGGGATTTCAATAGGCAGATGGTTGACTCTGCTTAATAGCTGAGTCCTCCAAAGGAAACTCAAGACTTCACTTGAAATTTGCTCTCCTAGTCCTAGATACTTCATTATCCCTTTTGGGTCCAGGCAGTTACTTCTTTTTTGTCTCTTAAAATACATCCAAAGGAAAGAAGGCACATGCCCCAGAATGAGAGGTCTACAGTGTGAGTATCAAGAAAACATCCAAACTACTGCGCTGTTGGCTAATCTGAAGCTGAGCACTCTGTGCCACTCCTGGTGTCCCTGCCAACAGCAGTGTGACACTGAAATGTTCATAAAGAGACTAAATAGAAAGTGCTGTGTTAACTTAATGGGAGCACTTCCCAACACTAACACTGCTTATGGTTGTATCCAGTGATTCTTTAATGTTAAGTATTTGCAATAGCTTGAACACACGTTTCCTGTTTTTTATATCAAAATGTGTTTGGAAACATGTTGCTCCCTGTTGTTCTATTTTGTTTCGTTGTTTGTTTGTTTGTCTTTTTAACAGTGTTTGAAAACTAGGGCTGATGCTGGTACATAAAAATATTATATTAAAAAACTAGATCAAATCATATTGAATCTTGATTTTTTTTTTACAAGATCCACTAGCATGTTGAAAAAGAGCTTTGGAACCTCTGTTTTTTTTGTCCCATTAAATAAAAACACTTTCTGTCTAATAATAATAATAATAATAATCATCATCATCATCATCATCATCTAGTTCCAGCAAGCTTCTCTGATATATCCAGATTATTAATAAGTATTCAAAATAATATAATGGATTTGTTCCAATTGACATGAACTAAATGTATTCCTAAAAGAAAAACAAAATGCAAGGAAGGAAGAAAAAAACACAGGATTTTTTGATGGCATTAGCGAATTAGTGGGTACATGTGTGTCAGCAGCAATCTTTAACTTGTTTTATAAACTAGTAAATACTTTTAAGCTCAAATATGTAAGCATTTGTTACCATATCCACTCTGATTTAATTCTTAATATTCTGCAGTTACATGTTCTGTGCATTCCTCTCTTTTTTTTGTTGTTGTTTTTTCAAACATCTATTTCTAATTTTCTGTCTCTTTGGATAAGTGCTTTGAAAAGAGCTCATTGCTTACATAGTGTCACATACATGTATTGAGGTAACCACTACTCCATTTGTTGTCCAAAAAAACCCAACTCATTATATGAGTTGTTCAGTGAGTAAGAAGAGCTGATTATTAGCACTGATGTTCTTTTGCTTTTGAATTGCTAATATATATGAAATTTCAGGAGAGATGTGTGAGACAGTTACTGTTTACCTTACTGACAATACTCTTTGATATGATTTATTCCATTTTCCTCGCAGCAATTGCTGGGAGAGCTTTCAGAGGTAATGGAATTACTGTTCTGATATTGAACCTCAAAAATTATTCTTTTGGAGTGTGTAGCTACCAAATTCTGTAGAGCATGCTTGTTTAGTTAGTAGCAGTGAATAGAAATGATGGGGTGCATGTGTGGATGTTCTCAGAATATCCAGAATTAAAGAAAGGAGTTTTTAAAAAATGAAAAAAATAACAATGTTAAATTGATTAAAGTGTATAATTATTGTGCAATGTTCAAGAAAATTTGAAGTGTATTTCCCTGTAGTTTCGTCTTTAAATATAGAATTGGAGTGATGCTTCCAGTTTGGTTTCTATTTTCACTCCAGCATGTAGTAAGTCATTTTGATGAGACTTGTGATTGCAATAGTGTTTCAGAAGCTACATTAATAGCATCTGCTGAGAGCTATGTGTAATGTTTTGCTATCGCTTCTTCTGGATTGAGATTTCAGTGACACACAGCTGATGCCTTGGTTTGTAATGAATCCTCTCTACCATGAAAAGAGCGATGCTTTTTCTTTGCATGTTGTTTAGGAAGGTCAAGGACACACGTGATGGTACACTGTGGGGATAACTCTCTAGGCATCTGAATTTGTGAACAAACCACAAACTTTTCTATATATTGTATTAAAATATTTTAATATCAGTGAAATTTTTAAATTCATTAAGATAATTTTGGATATGTTGTAGTACATCTATGTCTAATAAATTATGGAATGCTTACTAAATACCTACTAAGGCACTGCTTCCACCAAAAGACAGTATTATTAAGTACACATGATACTGCTTGTTCTATTTTATATTTCACATTTCACTTTTTTGGCATTTGACATTTTAGAAAATGTTTTGTGTCTTTACATCAAAGTACTGGAATACAGAAAAGTCAGTCATGATTCTTATTTTTATATTAATTTCTCCACAGTGTACTGCAAATGAATACAAAATGATCCATATGAATTCATTTAAATCACTTAAATGCTAAATGCTGAAACAAGAAAGGTTTAATGACAAATGTGTTTTAGGACAATATGTTTGCTTCAGTTGCTGACTGCTGCAATTTAAGTGAAAAAATGATTTAGAGAAGGCAAAATACATTTTTTTCCCCTAGGCTTAAGGGAGCCTGATTGGATAAATTTTGGGCTGGTGTAACTCTGCATTGCTTAGCTATAACATGTTCATGTTCACTACAAATTGCCACTCCCATAGGTTAGATGTGTACCATGCTGGGGATTCCAGTATGAGGGCAGTGGTTGACATTTAATGAAGTTCTGCTTGTTTTCAGGGCAGTGATGTGCTGTTCAGTTTCTACCATATGGCTTCTACAAATATTTCCCTACTTGATCTACCATAAACCCTCTGCCTCCAAGGAATTAGTGAATGGCATTACAGGAAGGAGCAATGAGCGTGGGGAATGTACTCCTCTATTTTCATACCAGAGAAAGCAGACTTCTCATAACTTAAAAATGAAGCATCAGTGCTGAGCAAACAAACTTTAATATCAAAACTTCAAGCTTTATCAGTCCAAAACCATAGAGAGGGATCAGAGTTAAAACAGTGAGATGTAGAATTTGAACTGTTGGAAAGAAAAGGCTAACATAGGTTGTTTATGATCTTCTGGGCTTGTCTGTCACTGGGATTGCTTTGGGAAAATGCACGCCTTTTCCTGCAACTGGCACCATTTTAAAGGCAAAAAAAGAGAGGAATTATTCCGCAGAATTAATTTTGAGGCACCTGCCAGCTAGCTATTAACAACAAGATAATTTGCATGCTGTTGGAACACTTCATAAAGAAGGAAAAAAAAAAGCCAGCAGCCTTATTCAAAGAACTGTGGTGTTTGTGTTTAATCACATTGTTGTGCATAGTTCTCATACAGATAGTTGAAATGGCACAACTCAATTTTCGGAGGAGGAGCAGGAATCTCTTATGCAGTGTCTGAAGTTCAGGAAACAATGTGCTACCTCAAATTCAGTGATGTTCCTAAGTTAAACCATTAGTCAGGCTTAGGAGTGACTGGATGTATTCATTTTTCACTCTTGTAACAGAACATTTCTAAAACATATGTTTTTATACTGATAAACTCCAGCAATTCAAAAATTTTGGAAGCTGTTCAAAAGTGCCAGATAGTAAAGTTCAGAATTTTAAAACAATTTTATGTATAGAAATCATCTGCTTGGAAGAAAGAAGCGCACTTGAGATGATGTGATTGTTCTGAATTTTATGTCTGAAAGAGAAGTAAAACCATACCAGATCAAATTTTGGCAAATTTTATAACTGTATCTGGCAGGGATGACTTTTTGAGCAATAAATGAAATCAGATGGTACAGAGCACCCCAGTGTTTTCTCCAGAAGCTTTGTCTAAGTTCTTGTCCAAGCTCTGTTGTCAAACTGAGTCTCACTGCATCTTTTCAGAAACAAAGGACAGACTATGTTGCTAAACAACCTGATCCGGTTCCTGTTACTCCTTCACCGCCTCCGATGCCTGCTCCGGTTCCTGCAGCTGTCCCCCTCCCTCCGAGCACCCCAGCACCCATCCCAGTTCCTGTGCCCAAGGCGCCAGCAACTGTCAGCCGCCAAAGCAGCACCTCTAGCGACAGCGGTGGTAGCATTGCACGAGACAGCCAGAAGCACAAACAAGTTCCTGTGGACCGTAAGTTTGTCTAAGAAGAAAAAGAATGTTTCTCTCCCATCTTTGTATGTATGTTTTGCTTAATCTTCAAATTCGTTAAAGCCTTCTGTTTCAGATAAATGTTTAAGAAATACTTAGATTTAAACCCATATTTAAAAGACACATGTTCTATGCGTAGACAGTTCTCTGTACAATCGTGAAAGTAAGTAGGAGCAAAAACAGCCTTGCATCTGTGCCAGTCCTGTAATAGTATATTCTCACATTCTCTTCTGTTATGACTATCTAGGATCTTTACTCGGTTTTCAACACTGCAAATGCTCATGCTGTTATTCTGGGTAATGTACTCCGCCTGCCTGAGTTCACTACTGCTTTCTAATCAAATCACTTTTGAAATCAGTTGGGCTCTTTTTACACTTCTCTCCACGATTGTCCATACATCTAGGGCATTTACACCTTTCTGAAATACAAATCTAAGGCTTCCGAGGAGGCTTACAGTGGCTGATGCATAGAAAACAAATTTTAGTGGTAGTGTAGGAAACTTGTCATTAGAGCCAGAACCCTTGGTCAAAGCAAGAGCAGTTGGCAGGCCACTAAGCAAATTTATGTGTCCTTGTTTTAGGAGAATTAAAAGACATAATCCGTAGCTCTATTGATGGAAAAACATGATAATCTGCAGCAAGCAGTGTGTGGCAGTCATGAAATGTTCTGCTTAAAGTTTCCTTGTAATTATAAACCACAGTTGCTGCTGAGGATCCCACAGTGTACCAACTGAAAAGTGGTTAGGTTAACAGAATTTCCCTAATCAATAATTTCTGTCCTAAATATACTTGAAGTGATGAAATCACCTAGCTCAAAAATAGCAGAAACTTGTTGGCAAGCACTTGCTACAGCTTCTAAACCAGTAGTTCTTAAAATAATGAGGTTTTTGCTTTTCAGGAGTTGACAGCTTTTCCAATCCCCTTCCTTATCAGAAGATCTGATTTCCACCTGAGATGAAAACTGAAACCAAGAGTAGCCCTTTCTGCAGAGGGCCCCTTTCCCTGCACTCCCAGCAGATGGGAAGCATCCCCACTTGCATACATTCAGCCTGCTGTGGCATTGCCTGGTGGTAGACCAGCTCTCTCTCAGACTCTGAACTCAGGAAGACTCTGAGACTCTTCAGCTTTCTTATACAACAGTCTAGCTGGTAATTAGAACAGCCTCTTGGGAGGAACACATCTCCCTGCTGCTTCCCAGACAAACTAGGACCAGCCTCTGCCTTTGGTTTGCCTCTTAAATGAAAACACAAACTTGAGGAGTTTTTTACAAAAGATGTAGAGGTTGACAGTGAACTTCCCCCCAAATAATTGATCTTGTTAGCTCCATGAGATGCTCTTCACATGCTGCAGCAGATGTGCATTTCTTTGAATCCATGATGGCTCTGTCTGTCTGCTATAGATGATAAATTTGAAGACCACTCTGGCTTTAGGCATGGGCTGTGAAGGGTTGGTTGCTGTAGACCAAGTGGTTGCAAGCCGTCATCTGCCGCCCCTTAGGTTGCACTCAAGCCAAGGCCTTGCTTGATGTCTGTAACCTCACCAGGGGTTTAAACTCAAGCTCACTGAGCTTCAGGTGCCAAGATCCCCAGAAAATTCCTGCCCCTACAACAGTCGTGGACAGCCCTTCCCAATCAGTAGCAGGGAATGTGCAGCCACCGCTACTGAGTGCATTTTGTTTGTTTGTGATAATGCATTTAACAATAGTAAGAATTTGTTATCTAACAGCTAAATATTTGTCTTTTGATTTGTCCTGGTCTAGATAAAATCTATATCTTCCAAAATCCGTGTAAATAGAGACACAATAGCAATTTTCTTGCGCTCTTCCTGTCTGGGAGAGTAACTGGTGCATACTACAATAACATTGTCCAAAGTCTTTATTTGTATATCACTGAGCATGTCATTTTGGCTTCCAAATCATACTTTGGAAAAAAAAAAAAAATACAGATAGGGTCTGCATGCTTCAGATATTTTGCTGGAGATACTTTGTCCACTTTCAGCTTGGGGCCTGGGGCTATTTTATAAAAGGAAGAAGAAAATGGTTAAAACAGGGATTTTTCTTTTGTAATCTAAATTGTGATTAGAAAAAAACCCTAAACCATGTTGGTTTTATTCACATGACTGGCAAGAGGGATGAGTCCTTGGAGGATTCTTGTGAGAATATAAAATGAAATGAGAGATTGAAACATTTTTATAGTCTTATTGTTTTTCCATGTAGTGCCGTATCATTTTCCCCTGTTGCCATCAAGAGTAACAGGAAGAAAGGAAAACTTTGCCATCTGAATGCATCAGAAAAGTTAATGTAGTTACTCTTTGTGCAGCAAATTGAGAATGTGGAATAGTGACAACTGCAAATATCTTGTTAAGGAAATGGAGATTTTTCTAGAACATTTAGAAGTTGCACGTCAAGTATTTCTGCAGTAATACCAGTTAATGCATGATGAGTTTGTGTTAAATCAGCACGTTCTCTGTCTCTGAAGATGAAGACACTATTTCAGATTCTACCTATTTTTGTGAAAATTTCCACAGATCATTTTTTATGCATTTGAAAATTTATTTGGCATTCCCATTTACTGTATGCTAGTGACCAACAATGGAACTGAATGCTTCAGATAAAAGAGTTCTGTGTAAAGTTACACAGTTTGATTTCGAAGAAAAGAAATAGTCTTACCCCAGTTCCAGTATCTCTGGTGTAATAAACTAATTTATTATTATCATTATTATTTGTTTATTATTTTTAAAGCAAAGAGTGGCATTGTTTCAGTCAACTAGCACTACATTACTGAGGCTCGGAGTGAATTCAAATCATTTATTGTGATCTTTTCTTAAAATCCTTTAAAAATTTGATCACTATAGTAAAATATTAGGCTTAAGGCAGTATGTCTCAGCAATGGTAAATTTGTTTTTGTCTTACCTTGATTTGCACTAAGAAGTTTCCCAAATGGAAACAATCTTTTATTTTCTTTCTCGTGTTTTTTTTTTCACTTTTAAAACATTAAGTTTATGTTGGAAGAAATTCAAACTATGGCAGTTGAACAATCCAGTCCTCTTTGCCCATTTTCCATCTTGAGTGCTAGATTGCTCTATCTACTTCTGCAACACCAAGTTTCTCTCTTCTTTCTGGGGTCTCAGTTGAATGTATATATTTAGTTTGCTTTGGTTGGTAAAGGCAGGTGTGGGAATACAGGAGTCATCCCTGGGGAATAAGGTGGATAATAACTCAGAGCTAATGAATAGATCTTTAAAGAAAAAAAAAAAAGGGGGGGAAAAAAAGTATAAGATTTAAATTAGAGCTTAAGAAATGACCTTGCCTTTATAAAGCATTCTTGAGAGTAACTCCTGTGGGGCACCTCTCTCTCCAGGCAGGAAATCTCAGATGGAAGAGGTGCAGGATGAACTCGTTCACCGGCTCACCATTGGCCGCAGCAATGCCCAGAGGAAGTTCCACGTGCCACGGCCAAACATTCCGGTAGTGAACATCACGTACGACTCCTCGCCTGAGGATGTGAAAGCATGGCTGCAGTCCAAAGGATTCAACCCTGTGTAAGTTTGAGGACAAATCTGAGAAAGTTATTAGAAGTATTCTCCTTATAGTTAGTTGGGCATGGTCTGACTGCTTTTTAAAATCAAGAAGCTTTCAGAAAAGCAAGATACTCTTGGAAAAAAAAAAAAAAAGTTTTAGAAAATATGTCTATTTCTACCTCATGGTTATTCATAGAGAGATATCTTTCTGAAAAAAATGTGTGCACATTAGCCTCCACCAAAAGGTACTGGTATGACACGTATGAATCAATTTCCGTTTTCCTGTTGCTTGCAGTTTTATCTTGATTTGGTAGCTCTACCTGAGGTGATGATTGATGAAGACAGCTTCTTCCTCTTTGGCCAGCACGTTCTTATTTATTTCTTGCTTGTTCCTTGTGACCCTAGGACTGTGAACAGCCTTGGTGTGCTGACCGGTGCTCAGCTTTTCTCCCTCAATAAAGAGGAACTGAGGACTGTTTGCCCAGAAGGGTCTAGAGTCTACAGCCAAATTACGGTACAGAAGTCTGCTTTGGAGGTATGTATAACCCTTCTTAATACTCTAATGCTGGCTTGCTGATATCTAGGATATATGATTCAAGTCATCACTTTTGAATGTATGGAAGTAAATAGCTCTTTCTGCAAGATACATATTTTTTTCCTCAGTTCTCATCATGTTGATATGCATCATTTGTACCTGGATTATTTGGTATTAGTGCATTGAGCAGCATTCCTCAAAACATTGGGTGGGATGTCTCCACACTTCCAAAGGGATCCACAAAGCATCAGAAAAAGTACACGGTGGTACTTAAGCTTAAGTGCATCTTCTTTGGTGGATCCTAAGTGTAACAAAACATGTTCAACTGCGTGTTAGCAGAATTACCAAGCCTTGGCAATGTGTATAGTACTTCTATGCTCATTGCTCATAACAGTGGTATTGTTCCTGAAAAAATTAAAAGCTGGGATTAAGAGTTGCCCTAGGAAGATTGCTTACCAATTTAAAACCATGAAACAGCTACATTTTTTTTTTCTTTTTAGCTTAATGCAGGAAGTAGAGAAATAGACTAGATAATGTCTAGGGGTGACACTAGTCCACAGAGGAGCTTCAGTCTTCAAATTCTGTTTAAAGGAAACTTAATAAATATATATATTTATTTCTCTCATCAGAAACCTGGAACTACCTTCCTTAAAGAACTTTAACTGCCAGATCTGTTTTAAAAGAGAAGTTTAAGATGATGCATATTTTACAATTTACCTGATCAGCATGGACCAGAGAGAATTGCTATTAACACTATCAAACTTGCTTCAAGTCTTAATTTCCTGTTAGGAATATGTTGCTAAGTCCAATGCAATCCATTATTTCCTAGTGAGTATGTTTGTATATACTTCAGCTTCTATGGAATGTCTACAGTCTTAAGTTTCATGAAGAAAGTCCCCATGTATGGAGCAAAAAAAAAAAAAAAAAAGAATATTAAAATAGTCTAAAACCAAATTTACTTCCATATCATTATTAATAAATGTTATTGTTTAGAAATTTAATTAGGGTTACTTTTTTTTTTTCTTTTCCTTAAATACACAGTTTCTAACCAATATGCTTCAGAATGTGACCAGAAGAGCAGTGTAAACTATATATCTCAGAGATGTAGGCTTGATGGAGGAAATCCAGGAAGTGAGAGTTTGACAACTGCACCTGGAAGAACATTTCTTGTGAAGAGCTGTCTGTCCTACCAAAGGACTTGGTGGCCTTCCCACAGAGAGGGAAAGGTCGAACCTTTCCCTCTCTGTGATGTTTTTCTGCTTACCTCAGTTAGGCTTTACTCTGCAGGAAACTACTGAGCAGTAAAAACTTGCCCAGTGTTAATAAGTGGGTCCTGGGAGTTTAGCAAGGTTGTTGGATTTTGTTAGTGAAAAGGTAATGCAAATATTTATTTCTACTTTAATTATTTGAGGTTTAACTGATGATTTTCAGAACTGAAGAAATTTTTGATTACTTTAGCCTGTTTGCTTTGTTGTCTGGAATACAAAGGCACATCTTCCTTTCTGTCCGTATTTTGTATTTCATGTATCATATCATTTGTAATATCTGAATTTCATATTGCAAGTCTTAGAAAAGCTGTCCATCTCTGTTTAAGATAATCTATAGGAATGTGCATGATGAATAAGTCCCAGAAAGTCTACCAGTGACTCAGGAAACATGGGCTCATGTCTTCCAAGCAAGGTTATGTTTTATTGCTCAAACTAGAAGCATTTCCAATTACAGAAGCATTTAAGTACACATGTACTTGTTGTACCAGTGTCAGACTTGTTACACAGCAAAGCAAAACAGAATGTTTTTTATAGGTATGGTTATGGCCTTGACCACAGTAATTGTCCTACACAATTAATCAGTGACAACTTCTCATGAAGTTCTGTAGCTCTGGCATTCTTTCCATAGTACTTTGGTATCATATTTCTGTAAATGTCCTGTGTGCTATGCATAAATAACAGTAATGGCCAAGAGAAAACAAACCCATATGCTGTCTGCCATTACAGAGCTCCCTGTCTCTCAGATTGGGGCCTGCATTCCCTGTTACTGAAAAACAGATCCTCACCTGTATGCAGCTGCATTCTTATTTTTTTGTTTTTTTCTAAGTTCTTCAGCCTTAGGCGAAGGAATTAAGTATTCTGAAATTGGAGTTCCAATTCCAATTGTTATTGGAATTTAGTCATGTTATCTTTATGAGAACTCCATTTAACCCTGAATCCAAACCACTTTAAAACATCAAAGACAGCAAGACTCCTCTCAGAGTTTTGTGGCCCCAGTACAAACATGACAAAGGAGCAGACCATGAATGTAGTGGAGTTGTTTGGGGTTTGGCAGCTTTCTAAGTCTGGCCAAACAAAACCAGAAAGAAAACTCTGCATGAGATCAGTGTGTCAGAGAGCAAAACAGCTGGACATAGCCAGGGCCAAACACTGTTTCTGTCCAAGAAGATGGTGGTTGCAAGCAGCAGCATGTCAGGAGAAGGCAGACTGAGATGCCCCATACATCTTCTACTGATTGGGATTGCCTTCTGGGAAGCTTTTGTTCAGGATTGCTCCATAATGTTGAAGTATGCAAACTATAGAGCATTTTACCCAATTGGCCAGTCAGCTGTATGAATTTACTTTTTCACTGCAAATTGAAAATGTTAATAGTTGCAGTGATCATTAGATGCTGTTTGTGCATTTCTTCAAATTTTGTGGAGCTCTGGGCATGAAGAACATTAGTCAGAAGACAAGCATAGAGATAAAATATCTTGAACATTGCCTTTGTCATCTCTGCGATGATCTCATCTCTGTGGACTTAAATTCCGCATTCCTGTTGTCTTCCTACTCCATCTATGGAAAGCATGGGAACACATGAAAATAGTTTTTATCTAGTCCATGCATCAAATTGCTTGTTCTCTAGAGCACCTGGTTGTAAGGAACAATACAGACATAGAAACGTGATGGACCAATGGGGCTTTTCACTGAGAGAGTGGTAAAGTGCTGGAGCAGGCTGCCCAGAGAAGCTGTGGATGCCCCCTCCGTGGAGGTGTTCAAGGCCAGGTTGGATGGGGCCCTGGGCAATCTGATCTAGTGCCTGATTTAGTGGTTGGCCACCGTGCCCATGGCAGGGGGTGACATGATCTTTGAGATACCTTCCAACTCAAGCCATTTCATGATTTTATCATTGCATTTGTTGATTCTGACTTCAGCAAGCTGAGTCTAAAGCATGTAAAGTTTACTGGCTTACTGATACCTCATGATTTGGTTAGAGACTAAGCTGAGTAAATCAGCAGAGCTGAGGTCTAACAGTCTGTTCAAAGGATTGTGTTCCCCAAAACAGCCCTGGGCTGCTGAGCTATGCTGTTCACTGTTTCAGCAGGATGTGTCTGTTGTGCTGGGACATGTGTTGTACTGGAGTTTCTTTTCAAGCCCATCAGTCAGGTTTTTACTGATGTTATCAGGAAGATAAACTGTTGCAGCCATGGCAGCTCAGTTCTTTGCAGGAAAAAAAAAATTCGATGTGACCTCTGATAAAGCAAGCTGTCAGGTATTTGCTAATATTTTTTATGCATTACTTCAGTAAAGTGCAGATTCTGTGCTTGTTCTGTATCTGGAACCAAGTGGGCAAGGACAAGATGAATGAAGACAAATCCAGGTGGTCTGTCACTTTCAGGGAGTTAGTTATGTGCCCCTTGCTCTCTGCTCCCACTCAGGGAGCAGGGGAGAGAGCAATGGTACTTTAGCTAGGATAAGTCCATCTCTTTCTTTAGATGCCCACCTGTCTGCCAGGACATAGCATCAGATAACACATTGTAATAAACCTAATGGGATAAATCTAAATTAAATTTTGTGTCATGAGATAAATTCTAAGAGTTGAAGGATTTTGAGAAAGTTGAAGAATCAGTTGAAGGATGTTTTCCCTATAACAGTCGAGAAATTTATTTCACAATTTTCAAAAACAGTTTCTGCTTTCTTAGTGAGGGGATATTTGGGAAGCTAGCGTTTAAGCTTGGAAGGTCATGCCACAGGCAAGTAACACAGCAGTGATATAGATCTTGTTTCATACTCTCCTAGCCTTATTCAAAGTCATGTGTGCTTTGTAAAGTTATGCTCTACTGCATGTACATCCTGGCCTTGTTAATAACTTCATTTATGTTTTCAAAGAAATCTATTTGCCCTAGCTCTTGAGAACTGTTCTTTCACCCTAAATGTGAAATTAAGCCTTTTCCTCAGAATGCTGTTCTTGGGCAACATTGATACATTAATAGGATTCAATTCTTATTACTGTGCTCTGGGTTTTAGTACTGAATCTTTGATCAGCAACTGCTTGATGTCACACAGTACGATGTAGAATACTAAGATTAGTAATCCAAATCCTTACTGAGGCCTTGGCTGTGCAAATCCATGGGCATGCATGAATTTAGTGGTGACATAGATCTAAAAGCCCAAGGATTTTTGTGCTTTAATTTCTAAATATGATTGCCATGATTTTTAAGTACTCGAGTGAAATCCTAGCAAATTTGGTGGACTTTAACTCTGTATTTAGGCCGTATTTCGATCTATGAGTATCCAGTGCTAATGGAGTCTTGCATGAGAGGTAACAGTACCCAGCAGTGTTAAAAATCAAGCTGGTTAACAGTTTATAAGCTCTTTTCTGATCTACATTTAGGAATAGCGTAAATGCTTCTGTTTTCCAAATGTCACATAACCAGATTCTTAGTGCATTTTAGTGGTGGAGCTGCAAGTTATGTTTAACTTGCTCAAACATCTATCTTAAATGAAATGCTGTCAGTAGAACTTCATCCTTTGTCAAAATCACAGATTAAAAGCTCTTCTTTTTTCTTTCTTTGTAGGCTAACAGTGGCAGTTCAGAACTGCAAGAAATTATGAGAAGACGACAAGAAAAAATCAGTGCAGCTGCATCAGATTCAGGTGTGGAGTCTTTTGATGAAGGAAGCAGCCACTAAAAGTCTTTCCTCTATTCTTTAGTTCCACTGACCATAGCATTATACAGTCCAGCTTTGCTTTAGTGAAGGGGAATGTCTTATTACTCTGTAAAAATACATAACTAGCCATCATAAAGAAAACTTACAGTAGTATCTGCAGAAGTACTTGCTGCTGGCTTCTCACCATTAAAAATGAAAATGAGAAATCCAATGTAAGTTCCTGACAGGTGAAACTATTGGCACTAGAGTCACTTATACCCAAAGACATGCCTTGGCTTTATGGAATTAACATTTCAGTGACAGGTAAACTGGAATGTATTTTTATTTTTGATCCATCCTAGGAGAGTTGAGCCAGCAATAAAAAGCATTTGAACTCTTTAGTAATAATATAGTTCTGAATTCCATCGCCAGCTGTAGTATGCAACTATGTCTTTCTTACAGTGCATTCAGCTGCAGGATGTTTAGTTGATGCCAGCAATCAAAGAGGTAACGTTTAGGGTATGAACAGCAGCCCAGCATAGACTGAATCTTTCTTGCATTGCTCCCAAGGTATTTTATTACTAATGACGCTGTTTATACCAAAATAATACTCTGTACTTTGATTTTATCAGTACTTCTCTCGTGATGAACAATAATATTACACAAGGAATTAATAGAAAACAGTAACACAACTCAGCTGAAAGAGGGGATCAGATCTGCTGTAGGTAGTCATGAAACAATTCTCATTATTTTTTTTTAATACACTTGCCTTTTTTGTTTGTAACTTAACCTGTTGGAGGAACAGTGTATAATCTAGACTTTGCGTGTTGATCCCAGACGTCAGTTTTTCCATATGTAAAAAGCTGTTGTTCCTTTATGAATGTAATCTTTTGGAAAATTGGATTCCTGAAGGCAAAAGGGAGAGAAAAGGAAGCGACCCTTCCAGCAAATATTATTTTTGAAGATGCGATGATTTTTGTCACAAAAATGTTCTGTTACTTCAGATGGTGTTGTGATTTTATATATAATATATGTATTATATATAATATATAATATCACTTAATTTAGACAAATTTAATCATCTAGTTTGATTAAGTTTCATAGTGCCTTTTCCACATGAATCAGCTTAAAGTCTGCAATAAACAGTATTTCTTGTCTGTTAAATAGTTGTATCTTTCTGGCTACAAAGATGGTATTGAAATAAGAAAGTGTTCTTGATTTTTGCCATTAGTTTGCTTTTCCTCTGTGTACAAGGAAAAAAAAAAAAAGAATCCTATTCATTTTTTTCATAAAAGAAATTAAAATCTTAATAAAGGTGTTTAGTGCCATTTATTGTAAATGTCCTTACAAATACTATTTCTGTGTGTTGGTTATGTGTCAATGTATATATTTACTCTGGTTAAAAGCACATATGACACCTGTTATTTAAATGTGGTCTTACTCAGAAATGGTTCTGAAAGTGAAGGGTCCCAAACTTAAGGCTCCAAGTGCCACAGCAATTCCAAGACGAGGATTTCTGTCTTACCCCTGAAAGAAATGATGATTCCCCTATCACATGCTCCCTACTGGAGACATTTGAACCAGAACACATTCATGATGACTGCATCCATTCAACCTATACACACAACTTTATGGGAGAAAGTTGACTATCTCACTGCCCAGCTTGTTATTAAAAGTCAAGTCTGGTCCTCCCAAGATTTGAACTCTCTAAGCCATGTTTTAAATTTTCTTTCCTGCACCCTCACTTGTATGTATGCATACCTACCCAGTCTGATGTGTTTGCTGTACAGCAGTCTCATTCACTGTGTGATGAATGACTAAGAACATAAAGGAAAGTCTCAGGCTGTTCTTACATAGATACTGCTTGTAAGTACAGAAATAAAAAACTTAAAAAGATCTTTGAAACCTGGACATAAAAATTAAAGTCACTTTTTTTCACATGGAAAGTACATCTGATATCATAAAAGCTATATTGATGGCTTCGTGCGCCTCCCTTTTCCTGTTAGGTATCAAAATACAAAGCCAGTTCTCATACTCACTGCAACTTTGTTCTTGGATTGAACATACAGCTTTGCTTTTGCTCAAAAGAAGCCACCACCTTAGACTTTATGTAGTTTGGTACACAGAGGTGTTAGAAGAAACCCCATATATCTTCTCTGAAAGAAAAGAGGTGGCTTCTCAGCAGGTTTTGTAGTTGGTAGTTATTTTTAATCTGAATGTGGTCAGTGTTCTCAGAGATCTTTGGAGACACCTGGGAGGAAAACAGGAAAATCCTTCCGTGTAAGCAGAATAATCTGTATGTTTTGTTTCCCTTGATTTTGTTTTCTTTTCTGCATTTTTAAAAAGTATTATTTTTTAAATTAACTGCTAATGATTAACCAAGCCAGTAAAGCTTGAAGCTGAATTTTACACTTCAACATTGCTGAATTAGACTGTACGACTTCTATGTAACAATCTGGAATTTTAAGTGATGTTAAAGCAGATATTACCCATTTTCCTGGAATTTTCTTGATGGTTTAAGGCACTCCAGAGAGCTTCATACTTCCACTGTGCAGTTTTTGAGTTTATAGCCTGGTGGCAGTTATGAGAAAGTAAAAGGAGGTTTGATTTAGGGTTAAGAAAATGAAAATAAATAATTTTCTGCAAAATTCTCCATGTCTTAGAGGAAAATGAAATTTCCAAATGCAACATTTCATTCCAAATGTCTTCTCAAGGCTTTGAGCAGTGTGTTGTGATTTTTGTTTTTAACAGTAATATTTTAGAGAGATACACTGTGTATAATGGTGTGGAGGAGCTTTGGCATCCCATGCTTACTCAGCAGTTTTATGCTTTCTTTGCACACACGGTGTAACAGCAGTCACTTCTGCCCACTTTTCTTTAGTTAGCTTGCTTCCATGACAAGGTAAAGCTGGCTGTAGAGAATGTTGATTCATGCCAAAAGCTCTATATGCTTCTTTTGAGCCACACAGTCTCTCAAGCACTCCTATTGCTCTAGAGGTGCTGTTGAAGAAGGCCAGGAGAGGTGGTACTTCCATCCCACACAGGTAGGTTTGCACAATATATGAGTTAGGAAAAGATATTTTGTCTAAAGAAAGGGGTTTTTGTTTGTTTGATCTTAATAGCAATTGACTTTGTGAAGTAGCAACCTGTAACAATCAGAAAGATCAGTGTGGTGGAATGGTGATGTAAGAGGTGTAATGGCAAGTGGATCAGCGCAATAGGAAGGTGTTACAAAGGAAAAGTGTTCATGCCACAAGGGAGAGATCTCCAACCAGAGATCTTTCCACAGTGGCAGTCAGCCCTTAAATGAGGTCTAAGAGAGGTGCAGCCAGGCTCCATCCCTTCTGGTCACACAGCTGAATTGCCTTCACCTTCCCAGGGCTGACTGGGTCTTTTACCCAGGTGCTCAATCAGAGGTTCAGGCCACAACTCCCATACACACCCAAAGGAAAAATATATACCTGCTAACATGTATTCAAAATAACAAGCATTCAAAATTCAGGCTACTCAGGCAGTATAGTTAGCAACGGTGTGATGTTGGCAAGCTATCTTGTACTTTGTTATGGTCTGCCAAGAGTCAGTTACAGCCAGCTCAAACTGTAATGGTTTGTGTGCATATCAGTGTTTTAAAAGTAACCTGGATACTCTGGGCTATGATACAGAATAAACGTAGAATCAGTGGGCAAGGCACAGAGGGCAGTAGATGAGAAGGCAAGAACATTTGTACCTTTGTGGGTTTGTTGGTTTTTATACCTGCTAGAAGTTCTCTAGAGGGGTGTGAACATGTTTTCTAAGTAAGCATGTGGTGACACTGAAATATAAACCAACAGAAAGGCAAGGTCTGGACTGTCAAGTGCTCTTTTATCATTCTAACTTCTGTTCAAATTAGACCAGCAAATCATGGCCATTCCCAGTTATATGGCAGGCCCTCCAGCTGAAATGCACTTGTGAAGGAACAGAAACAACGGTATTATTGAAGCTTTCTTGTTAGCAGCCTACCCCCTAAAGATGGCTCCCTGCCCATTTGCGTACATCTGCAGGCTTCCAATTTAAAACCATGGCAGCCCTGCTTTAGGAGTGGACCTAGTGGAAACTTCAAATGTGAAGTGTGCACTTCACCTCACATTTAATAATCAGAGGTAGAGTCTTGTTTCTTTCAATACTCTTCAAAAGGACCTGGTTTATTTAAGGGTTGTGTTATCTATTCAGTTTTGTGTTGCACATGTGGGAGAGTTTGAAGGAAGTTTTCCATTATAACTATTACTGAGATGGAATAGATATTAAAGGAATATGCACCTATTTAACAGTTGAAGGAATAGCACTTCAAAAAATAAATAAACCCATTGTCATCTAAAGGAGGATATCAGGCTCCTGAAAGTGGCTGAGCTACCACCTCTGGTACGCTGGCTGTGCAGTGAATACAAAGTATGTGTGAGTGCACTTGCTGTTTTGCTGACAGTGACTTCTTCACAGGTAAGCAATCCAGTGTGTTTACTTTCAGTTCAAGTTTGTTTTGTTTACATTGAGTTACCATTGCTGCTAACTTCCAATGAGGTGACAAAAAGCAACAGGCTACAAAATGCCATCAAACATCCATTCTGACAGCATCCATGTCACAATACACAATGATGTACTGGAATTATACAAAGACAAAAAAATATATATAGCTAATTATTCTGACTAGAACTGAAACTGACAGCAAAAAGGAAAAGAGCCCATCGCCTTGACCCGACGTCCCTGCAGGAATCTGTCCCGATGCTTTGGCAGCCTCGTAGCAATAAAGCAATAACCATATCCCTTCACATGCCAAAAAAAAAAAAAACATTTTTGTAACACCGTGAATTCCTGGCTCGGAAAAATAGTTACATCCATTAAAGCACATTTTTTTTTTTTTTAACCCAACCTGAATCAGCTTCACATTTTTACACAGGTTTAATACTTATTAAAAATAATAAACAAATGAGGGGTATAGGCACCGTAGATTGCTCAGACAGTTAGATGCTATAGAAATGGAATTGAAGCTACCTCAGCTGCACTTGGATTAGATTGATCTAAAAAAAATAACCTTCTCAGTGGCGTTACTGAAAAGGTTGGAGAAAAGAGCAATATCTCTGCTTTATTCCTAGCAGCACTGTCACAAACCACAATGACCCCGTTCCTCAGCTGCCTGCTTCAGCTTCAGGCTCCATGGTCTGCATTTCCGAAGGTCAGTCCGTTCCTTGGGTCTTGCATTTCCCCAGGCCCCAAGCAGAGAATGTCAGGGCTGCAAGAAACAGTTCAATTCAGGTACCCAGCACCCCTGCCCCCCTCTTTCACAATCTCCATATTTCTTCATGTATGTTCATGCCTTGCTATTCACTAATGAGGTATTATTAGATACTAACAATGCCTGCTCTCCTATGGACGTTAGCACAGACCAGTGACACATGAAGAAAGGTCTTCATTCAACCCTTAAAAAAATATTGCACTTACTTACTTACTTTAACCTTAAGCCCAACCTGCACAGAAACAAATAAAATAACTGAAAGTACCAAACAAGAAAACCCAATGCTCTGGAGCACTCTATTTTATGCACATCTTGTAGTGTCTTTTCCTTCATGTTGTTCAGTTGAATTTGGTCCAGTATTTAAAAAAATGTCCAGAAATTAAAACAGTTCAAAAGACACCGCAGGCTTGTTAAGGCTTTTTCTCCCCAGTGCTTCTGAAAGTTAAAGTTTCTGTTTCTCACTGTCCGCGTACCGCAAGGCAGCGGTCTCTCATGGTGGTTCAAGCCACCAAAAGAAAAAAAATCGGAAGCAAGGGAAGATGGGTGTGCTTCATGGTCTCACCTGGAACAATAAAACAGGGAGAGAACGTGTTAGTACTAGGTAAGGAAATACAGAGATCTTGGCATATAGTTCTACCAGACATCCATACAGAGGCCTAACTATAATGAGGCTCTGGCACTCTTTTTAGATGGTGAATTCCCTACAAGTGGGCAGATGAGGCTTGTGCAAAGTCATGGGTGTGTTTCATGAGCAGGGGAATGACACACACAGATGCTGTTACAGGTGCCTGTGCCACATCACAGAATGCCAGTGCAGATGGCTAGTGCCTGTCATGACTCTCCATGAGGTAAGCTGAGAATCCACTTTGTGTCAGCAGCGTGCAGCTTTCTCCTTCAGCCAAAAGCAAATGTTAAGGTTATGGATGGCTTATTACTGCCACCTAATGAACTAAAGCTCACTAGCTGAGGCAGGGCCACGTGTCCTCACAGTGAGCCCAAAGCGAAAAGCAATGTTCTTGCTTCATCGACAGAAAACCCCAAAGCACTGCTTGGTGTGCTGCTGGGAGCCAGGACATGCTGTTGCCTGCATTGAGGCAGTCCCTGGGGCCTGGTGGAAAAGCACAGTGGTGGCCCCTGCTCATAGCAGTGCCTGGCCAAGAGTCCTCCTGTTCCCTGGCTCCCAGCGTTCCCTGCTGGAGCCCCTGAGTTCCTTCACTCCTTAGGAAGCCCTGCTGGCATGCCACCAGTGTTGGCGGCCCAACCCAAACCCTCAGATGGCCCTGGTAACCTGCAGATGGGAGTGATGTCAGGACAGAATAATTCTCCCTCTGCCTGAACCCTTCACTCATTGCAGGATGTAGGAGGACAACTGGAGTGACAGCTTCAGTTAAATCCTTGGAATTTCAGGATTCTCTAATTCTTTGAACATGTGAACCAACAAACCCTTACACTGCCAAGAGAAGTACGGTGAGTTATTTAATGCAAGAGTCTGAGGGGATTTTGCTTGCACTCTCCATTGAAAATCCCCTCAGAGCAGAGAGAAGCCTAGGAAGAAAGCCCCAAGCAAAGCTTCCTCAGCGTGAGAAGCATACAGCCATAATGTGATGCTGGTTGCTACCAAGCAGCGGGGATGTTTAGCTCTGTGCTTCATACAAGGCTTCCTGGACTTACCGCCTGGGACTCCAAACTAGGACTTGCTGACATTCTCGTATATGACGTCGCTTATGCAGAACTGCTGCTTCTTCTTTTGCCACATCAATTGCACACACTGGTGAATAAAAATGTATTGTTCCTGGAAGAAAGAATGAAGGGAATTGGCATTTTTGTAACTCACAAAGTCTGATGAAAACCCAAACAGTGCTTCATAGCAGTCGTCGGCACAGCTTCCCTGTTTTGCACTCCCTATCCCCTCACAACACGCAGTGAGTTCTCTGCTTCCCAAATAATAGCCTCTTACTGTTGCACAGAGCAGCTTCAAAAGCACAAAAACTCACTAAGCTTCCCCCAGCATCATACAGTGAGAGGTGCAGTGAAACAAATTAACACTGTTGTAGTGTCAGCTGTGAGGACAGCCTGACTGGAAGCTGAAGTGATGGGTGATTTGCTAAGAGTTTTACCAATAACTGATTACCTGCTAGTTGTGATGGTAGCAAATTTTAGCTCTGAACAAGGTATATTGTAAGTGAAGTCACAACCATGCTGTGACAGAAGCACTTCAGCTGTATTTATGACATATAGCTTTCTAGAAATCTCATTTACGTAGGTTGTTCCAAAAGTAATGCTTTCTATTTGTTTCCACAGAAACTACAACAGATACAAACAGTACAATAACACTATTTGATAGAGCAAATTCTCAGCTACAAAATACTATTTTTCAGCATAGTCGCCACCATTAGCTATGCATTCTCAACAGTGATGAACATAAGCCTGCATTCCGCACTCATAAAAACCTGCACCAATGAAGACACACTGTCACTACTGATGAAACGCACCACACACTGCCTCATGATGCTTGCTTCCACTGTTTTGTCTCCATAAATGTTCAGCAACCGTTGATGGATGTCAGTGGATGCCATTTTTTCCACATAGAGGCACTCAGTGACACACTTCTTCTTCATGCACATTTCCATGTCAGATGCCATTCTGTCAGACTGCCCCCCTGCTGCCATCTGTCACATGGCAACAAAATGTAATGGAACACTGGTGGGAAAGTTCAGCTGTACCACCAGCATGTTCCTCTGATAAAGTGGGCTAACATAATAACATAGGAAGCAGCGCTTTCAGAGCTGCAGTTGTAGCTTTAGAAATGATAGTTGCTATCATTCACAGTTCCCTTTTTGTCTGGTTGCAGTGTGAATTATCAGATTCCAGGAGGAGGCTGTGCAAGCACATGCCAGCCATATGGCCAGTGACCATGGTGTGTAAGTGATGTGCTGGAGAGGAGCAAGGCTGAGCCCCATGCTTCTCACTGAACAATGGCACTGCTGTGTGTGCAAGACATCTTTCCCATTCCAATCTGAAATGAAGCCCCATGCTGTCATGGTCTCTGAAACACACCTAATGGTGGCAGTTTTGCAGAATTAGGAATGCCAGTTTTGTGGTGCTGGCCAGTCAGAGAGGGGCAACCAACTGCAGGAACCTGTGGAGTGCAGCAATCCAATGAATCACAGAATCGTGGGGGCTGGGAGGGATCTCTAGAGATCACCAAATCCAACTCTCCTGCAAAGCAGGTCCCTTACAGCAGACTACATAGGTAGGCATCCAGGCAGCCCTTGATTATCTCCAGAGAAGGAGAATCCTCCCTGAACAGCCTGTTCCAGTGCTCTGTCACTCTTACTGTGAAGAAGTTCCTTTGCATATTGGTGCAGAACTTCCTATGTTCAATTTTATGGCTGTTTCCCCACAGAACGCTGAAAAGAAGTTGGCCATGTGTCTTTGACTCCCATACTTAAGATATTTATAAATAAAAGATCCCCTCTTTTATCCAGTTTTTAGTACTACAGGTGTAACCTTCATACTATCTGCTCTCATGTCTTCAGCCTGAAGGTTCTACATGGCCTTCTGGAAGTCCATCCACCTCACACTGCCTGAAAATAAATTAATTCACAGAAAAGTACCCAAATGCACTTAAGTGCAACAAATTGCATTCATGCCACACATGCATGAAACTGAAAAGTTTTGATAAGCTTTGTGTTCCCTAATGCTCGACTTCTTTACCAGTATGAGGCTGAAACCTAGGTTTGCTCACAGAGCAGTTAATTATTTGGGGATTTATCACCCCATGTGTACACTACATTGAAAGCAAATCATCATACAGAGAAACACTGTATTTCAGTTTGAAATATAGAAGTCATCACTTGAGTTTATTCCTAGCAGAGAGAAGGCAAACCCCAACAAATCCTCCAGTAATCCTTATGCGTACAAGACATGGGGAACAAGTGGCTCTTGAGCAAAAATGACTCTCCAAAGACAGAGGCAATTTAAAGCTTGAAAATCTGAGTGTGAATCTCAGTCTGTGCCTACAGTGGTCTGATGATCCCAGCAGGTATCAGAGCTTGAAGTATGTTTCAGGCCACATAAAAGTCAGGATTTCTTCACTCCCTTTGGTTTGAAGTGACTAGTTTTAATTCAGAGTGTTCTCCATTCTAACCTCTTTTTCAGGCTTGTGCTATTTTTTTTTAACTGCTCCATGAGACAGAGCCAACGTTCCAGCATGTGAGGAAATGTGAGCTCAGGTCAGCCCAGGTGTGCGGTTTCAGGTTTTCTAAAGGGAGCAATTCCAGTGGCCCTGTACCTGAGTGCCAGTGCCACCTGCTGACATCTGCATAAGGCTCAGCAGGACTGGGCATCAGCCCCAAACAGGCAGTGACTTTATATGTTAGAAAAAACAATAACCACGTCACTTCAGGAGTGTTAATGCAGCTGCAGCTGAAATAAAGTACCACGATTTGTTTTCTGGTGTTTATACAAGGCCTTTTAAAGAATTGTGTTGAAAAGTGGTGGTTTATGGGAATGATCTGAGACTGATTTTTAAAATTCCTAGACAGTAGCAGGCATTTCTGTCGCTTTTTCTTCTCCTCCCTCACCCCTGCTAAGTCTTTTCTGCTTTGCTCTGGGATAAGGAATCCTTGGCAACAGATTATCTGCCAGAGCCAGGCTGCTAACAGTGATGTGGTCCTTCCAGCTATATGATGGTTGCCAGCTTGTTCTGCATCTAACCAGTGGAGTAAAACAAGCAGGAAATCTTTCCATCATTAGTAGGAGAACTGGGAAGATTCCAGATACATAAAACCATCTGTTTTGGAATAAGAGTTTGGGCATATTTTTCCATACAGATATTTTGATGTGACTATTATGAAATGTCTCCCTCCAACATAAAAAGAGGTACCTAGTAGGTATACATACAGAGTGTGGGACTGGGTGGTCTCTGGCAAATTTCTCATGGTTCTTATGTCCTTTTTGCTTTGGGAATTTGTATTGCCATCATGTAATTTAGTTCATATGCTTGACCAGATTATACGCTCCTGAAAACCTGTGAGTGGCTGTCCAATACTGATACCACTTCATGAGTCATTAATTCCTTCAGCAAGTCCAATTCTTTTCAAAATGGTTTGAAATTTTTAAATGGTAATCTCTTCTAATACATTTTTGCACATTGATTTTTTCAGAAAGTGAGAATAGCTCATCACCTTTGGAAGACATCAGTGAGATTGAAGACATTTTATCAGACTCTCAGCTATGCAGCAGATTAACAATATGACAATATTTCAATAAAGATGACAACTTAGTTTTCTCAATTCATAGCTACTTTGACAGGTGTTCAAAGGGGACAACAATCATTGGACGTGAGCAAGCTACAGAGGAGCATGAGAGAGATCCCATGATATATTCACACCAAAATGTATTGACACAGCTTCCTACCTCTGTCTGCACCATGGACATTCTGTAGGACCTCATGTCAGATACCAGGCCCAATATATCTACGAACTCATGGTCACGGATGTGCTGTAAGAGCCGGTCCAGGGCTATGAATGTTCCTGTTCGTCCCACTCCAGCACTGCAACAAATACAGACGTATATCTTGTTTAGACTTTCCAGGCATGGGCATAGATGAAAATCAGAGGCACTGCAAAAAGTAGATGTCCTGCAGCTTAGATAATTTACTAGGGCAGGTCACCTAGTCATAGAAGAAAACTAGGCTGGTCAAGCAGGACCTGCCTTTCACGAACCCATGCTGGCTAGGCCTGATCCTCTGGTTGTCGCACACATGCTGTGTGAATGCACTCAAGATGATTTGCTCCATAACCTTCCCTAACCCTGTGGTCAGGATGACAGACCTATAGTTTCCTAGATCTTCCTTCCGACCCTTCTTGTAGATGGGCATCACATTAGCAAGTCTTCAGTCATCTGGTACCTCCCTAGTTGAACAGAACTGCTGATAAATGGAGGAACATGGCTTGGCAAGCACTTCTGCCAGCTCCCTCTGTACCCACCGGTGGATCCCACCATCCCACCTAGCCCCATGGAATTGTGACAGTCCAAGTTGAGCAGCAGGTCACTAACTGTTTTCTCCAGAATTAGGGGGTTTTATTCTGCTCCCCACCCATCTTCCAGCTTGAGGGCTGAGTTCCCTGAAGATAACTGTATTTCAGTTATATATTTCAGTGATGATGACTATGTCAGCTGCACAGGGGCTTCTAACTCCTCCTGTTTATTGGCTGTGTTGTGTGCATTGTTGTAGACGCTCTTCAGCTTTGCTATTGATCACATCCCCAACACTAGCATGCTGTCCCTAAGCTCATCTAGTAGTAAGCCTGGTTTTATCCCTTTCCCCCTTAAAACCTAGTTTAAAGCTTTCTCAGTGAACTCCGTTAACTCCTGGACTAGAATACTTTTCCCCCATGAGACAGGTGATCTCCATCTGTTGCCAGGAGACCTAGTGCTGTACAAACCACTCCATAATTGAAAAAACAAAATTCCACCGAGAGCACCAGCCTCTTAGCTGTGTGTTCATTTGGTGGGTTTTCCTGTATTTTGCAATATTTTTCCCTGCTACTGAAGGAACTGAGGAAAACACTATTTGAGCTGCCAGTCCTTCAACTATTTGCCTCAGTGACCTAAAGAGAGCCAACACAGTAACTACTACCAAGGCTAGAAGTGTCTTAACAGATGTTCCTTATTCTGTCTTGTGGTACTTTCAGAAAAGTATGTGAGATGAAGTTTCAGTATTTCGTCTCAACACAGCTTTCACAAAACAATTTTTCGCTTGTATTTCTTTAGCAAAAATGTTAATATATGGAAAGAGATTAAATGGAACTTTAGATCTGCTTACTTGAAAGATTCATTAATTGATATGTTCATAATATTCATAGATTCATTAATTGATATATACATAAATAGCAAGTGGAAAAGTTGTAATTATGTCAGTTCCTCCCATTCTTTAAAGTGTGAGAGCAATCACTGTTGTTTATCAATACATTTCTTCCCCCCACTTCCACTCATTCCAGAACATTGTTATTTATAATTTATGTGGTCTAATATGTACAGTGTTGTGTAAAGTATTATCTGAAAAGCTCTTTCTCTTCTGGTAGAAGCATCCTAATTAAAAAGAAGATGCTACAGAAAATGCTTTCTCCTATACCTTCCCAGAACAATTAAGTAATATAAAAAGTGCCATTTCACAGCCCTAATTTTAGTTCCTTCCCTGGCTTACTGGCATCTTTCTTGATAGTAGGACTCCAAAACAATATCCCCTATGTATTTTTCCATTAAGAGGTAGGGGAAGGCTGCATGCTTTGCTGCTTTTACAGATACTCTTGTTTTGCATCCATCAGAACACTAGCTGTCATTCCTGGAAACTTGAAAAGATATTACTCTAAAACACTGTTTTCTGGAAAGTAGTACTCAAAAGAGTGCTGTGAGAGACACAGTGCTGACTAACATATCAGCAACAGACTGGACCAGGCTGGAGGGTGCTGACACAATGCTCAGCAACATAGCTGCTGTCTGAGGTGGGTGATGCAGGGCTGGCAGGTACAGAGCTTGTCCAGCCTCAACATTCTTTTGGACCATGTCACTAGGGAGTACACACACTCATCCACTGCAACCTGGCAATTTCTGTCCCTCTGAAGACCTATCGAGAGCAGCTCTCACAGCAGAAGCTACAAAGGGGTCTCAAGTCAGTGCGTAGCATTGCGTCAGGAAGCAATGTGGTATGATGTCACTTCTAGCATGACAACTGCTCCCAGTAAGACAAGGGGAGTGAGCATGTTCATCAAAGTTCAGATGACACACAAGGGATAAATGCGTCAGTGTATTAGCAAGCTTCCTCCCCAAAATTACCCTTCCAACCTATCTCACCGGGTCTTTCCTTCAACTCCCCACTGCCTTGGCTGTGAAATGTTTACCTGCAGTGTATGATCATGGGGCCTTTGCTCTTTATTGACTTCTGCCTGACCATCTGCACGAACTGCAGGATGCTTTCGGCGGCGTTGGCTGTGGGGACACCATGGTCTGGCCAGGCAGTGTAGTTAAAATGCATCACGTCTTGCACCTCATCAGCCTAGTGGGAAAAGCAGAACAGCAGTGTGTTCACAGAGGTTTTAGCAGTGCAGTCACGTTCAGTCAGACTGAGGTTTTGTTGTTACTTTTTTTTTCTCGATCCACATACTACCAAAGATAGTAAAATCATAAAGTCGGACAAAAGGGGAAAAAATCCTGTTGCTGGGTTTGGGATATGGTTTTGATGTTTGTTTGATTGTTTGTTGTTACACGGCAGTTAATTTTTTTTATTTTTTATTTTTTTCTTATAAATCAAGAACTGTTGCGCTTTTCAAGCTTAGGCTTTGTTCCTCTTTGTATTCCATTTCCTCTTCTTTTCTCCTTTTGCCATGGATAAAGAGCAACATTGCTGGCAAACAATTAATACTTGATTCATGAGAATTTTTCTTCTGAAGTTTAAAGAAAAAACAGAAGAAAAAACATCACCTCCTAACATTGTCATTGCCAGGCAACAAAGAAAAAATCTTAGAAAAATACCCATTATTTTCAAAAAGCATTTCTAAAACCTTCAGTAGCATTAGGTGAAATAAAATCCTCAGTACAGCTGATGTCTTCTTTCAGACATAAAGAGACTCAAAACGTGGGAAGAGCTATCTATGTGTTTGAGAGGACCTTATCACAAAAAATAACATGGCAATCAAGGCCTTTAGTTTTGCCATTCTAAATCAGGCTAAAGATCTTTATTCCAGAAACTCTTCTCTAGTCACAGACATCAGCAGGTCTTAGGGAAAGAATATTTAAAAGGAGACCAGTCCAAAAGCCTCTTAAATAGCTGTCAGTTTTCGTAGAGGGCAGTGCCTAAACAGCAAACTGAATTCTGTTATTTTCAGTAGATACCAATACAGCCCAACCTCTGACTTGATCCCATCATGTCTTATGCCAGTTCTTTGCTGTATTCTCACATGCTTTATTGAAGCAGCTGCAAAAGAAACTTGGCTGTTTCTAATGAGCTGCAAGTCTCTTCCATTTCCTCTACTTCAATAAATGAAAGCAGAGAAATGCTCTATTTCAGCAGCAGTAGGGAGTGGAGAACCAGTGGACACACTTTACACAAGATCCAGTCTAAGCCATTCCCTAAACTTATGCTGCAAATATTGCACAATTGCCCTTTCGAAAAGATATTTTCAATTTCTACATATGTATTTTTAAGTTTTGAATGGCTTATAGCAATAAGATTACGCCTGACAGTAACAAGGAAGCAAGCATATTTGTCAGTTTTCAGTAATTATCTGCGCCACAGGAATGTCTATAATCTGATGTACAACAGTTGCTTCAGTCTTACGTGCTGCTGGCAAGTTCGCAGAGATGGCAACCCTAGGTGAAAGTCATGTGATTTAGACATTCACTTGTGTGGAGTGAGAGCAAGGCCATAACCAATTTTCTTAGGTGCCTTCCAGTGCATGCCAGAAATTGACAGATTTTAACAAAAAGCCTGGGCAATAATTGCTCCCACTCTGCTAGTAGAGCAATGAAACATGATACACTTACATAACTAATTCGGAAATTCCTATAAACCCAGTCTGTGTGTTCTTCCTCAGACAGCATCTCAACAGTAATGTCCCCATATGCAATAGGATCTTCTGTAAAAGGCCAGTAATGATCACATTTCACCTAAGAGAGAAACATATAAATATATCTATATGCACACTTTAAAAAAAGCACAATCAAAAACATACTGAACTGCAGTTTTAGAAATGCCTACAGCACTGCTTGCTTCTTTCAATAAAAGGTAATATACCCTGTAATTACTTTCAGCTTCATTATTCTTGTTTGTATATAACTATAGGCATCGTTATGCATTAGTTCTCTGAAGGGGAGCATTAGCATAGCAAAGCATGAAAATACACATCTTTTTTGTAGATTGTTACATTTCCTCATGGAAGAGTTCTATGAGGAAAAAAATAGGGGAAAAGGAACGTATTAAAAACATGTATCTTTCACATTATTATATTATAATGGTAAGGGAAACATAAAGCCTAATACATGTGTTTTATTTTTACGTAAACTTAAAAGCACAGAATCACAGATAAGTTGAGGTGGGCAAGAACCTCTAGGTCCATCTGGTCCAACCCCTGCTGAAATAGGAACACCTGGAGCAGGGTGCCCAGGTCCATGTCCAGTGGCTTTTGAAGACCTTCAAAGCCCTAGACTCCATGTCTCTGGACAATCTATGCTAGTGTTTGACCCCATCTCTCACAACAAAAAGCATTTGCTTGTGTTTAGACTGAATTCTATTTCCTTTTGTTCGTGCTTATTGCCTCTTGTCCTGTCAAAAGGCACCTCTAAGAAGAGTCTGGAGCCCTCATCTCCATTCTTTCCCATCAAGTGTTTACCCTTTTTCAAGCCAAAGAGTCCTACATTCTTCAGCCTCTTCATTTGAAAGATGCTCCAGACTGTCATTCATCCTGAAATGTTTACTGTAACTTAATGAAGTGAAATTCCAGGTCTAATGACACTGCCTCATGAAAAATAATGCAAATGAATCCACCCACCAATTAATAAATATGGTTTCAGAGTAGATCATTTTAAAAAATAAAGAAAGAAAAATGCATATAACTGTCTTAGTTTCAGCTGGGACGGGATTGTTTTCTTCACAGTGTCTGATATGATGCTATGTTCTGATTCTAGGAGAAAAACTATGTTGATAAGACACCAGTGTTTACAGTTGCTAAGCAGTGCTGTAGAGAGCCAAGGCCTTTCTCAGTAAAGGGCCCACAGAGCTGAGAGGGAACAGAATTAGGACAGCAGAGGAAACTGGCCAAAGGGATATTCCAGACCATATAACATCATGCAGAAAGAGTTAAAAGGGGGTGGGAGTTCATGTCTTTCTCTTCCACTGCTCTGGGGACACTGGCATTAGTTGGATGGGGGTGGGGGGAGGGGGAAAGCAATTGCTTGTGCTTAAACCACACCAAAGATTTTGCTACATACCCGTCTTTTCTCATTGCACTGAGTGAGCATAACAATAATTTGAGATTTTTGCTGTAGAACCATCTTCCAAAAATCATTCCTTGTTTCTGGCAGCGGTCCTTGGGTTGCAATGTATTCCTGGGGGGAATTGTAACCCTAAAAAACAAAGAGATAAGTGTTTTTCACTAACATGTTTAATGTTTCAAAACACCTGTTTTGCGCTGGCATCTGTACTTTTTGGCATGTTTAATTTGTATTTTTAAAAGTGATCTCCAACATAAACCACTTCATGATTTTTACTTAATGATTACTTCACAACTTTTGCCAGTTTTTGGTGCTTCCAAGCATAAGCAATCTAGAATGGAAGACAGAAGGGGAAGCTGTGACTTCATAAATCTTGTGCCCTCAGAACTGGGAAGGCAACATTAAAAAAAATTAAGTACTGAGGATCCTAAATCAAAATTCCAGCTTCCAACATTTAAGAGTTTGTTAAGTTATAGACATAAAAATTATTATATATGTAGTGCATGTGGTGATTTTCAAGAACTGATGTAAGTGGAAGTTAGCAATAAACAGGAATACGTGCATATGTTTATATCATAAGGACTTAAATTAGTGAAATATTCATTTGAATGCTTTTGGAATTCAGGTGCTATATATTTTGTATTTCTTCTCCTATCACTATCAACTAGCTGTAAAAATCTCCTTATATTCAAAAAGACTGTCTTAAAGATCATAATAAAAGACCCAAAGAAAGGCTGTTTTAGCATCTGCTATAATCGTATTTGCAGAGATTGGAAAGCTATTCAGTATTCCTGATAAGAGCAAAAGAGAAATTCAGCATACAACATGATCCCATGCAAATTGGTCAGTTTTTGTGCCACCCCTGTACGTTTCCTGTGGATTGTAAAAATACTGACAATTTGGGAGCAATTCCCATAAATGTTTTCCTCTAGACATCTCTAAAGGTCAGTGCAGTCTAAGTTTTCCTGTTACACAGAATGCTGATTGCTTGTATATCCCAAGTGTCAAATCATTACTATCACAGAGACACAGATGACCACTAGTATCCGTGTTTGGAGGAGGTACTCAGTAAAGAAGCCATCTTCAAGGAAAAAAAAAACAAGCATTAAGATGATGCACCTACCTCTGTTAGGAAGACAAATTCAACACTATGCTGTAAGTAAAATCAAGTAGATGTAAACTATAAAAAAATAATAAAATAGAACTCAGCAATCCAAAAAGAGTTGCTGCATTCAATCCAATTATCCATAACCCTATATCTTAGAATCTTAACTGATCTGTCAATGATGTTTTGAAGACTGGGACATTTTTCTTGATTCATTACCAGTTTGGACACATGCAGCAGTAGTGTTTAGGTTCATGTTCCTGTTGAGCAGAAACTAAGCACAAACAACATATTCAGCAGTACATGTGTGGATGATGGCTCAATGACAGAGAAGTGGTTTCACTGACTCACTTGAGAGCCCCTCCCTTTTCTGTAATCCTGACTCAGCTCTCCCCAGCACAGCCAGGACCAGCTCTGTCCTCTCTGCTCATGGCACACATGCAGAAATGCTCATCACTAAGTCAAAGGTCTTTTTCTAAACAGATCACAGAATCACAGAATCACAAGACCTTCAAGATCATCCAGTCCAATCATCCACCTATCACCAACAGTACTCACTAAACCATGTCCCTCAACACAACATCCAAACCTCCAGGGTCGGTGACTCCACCAGCTCCCTGAGCAGCCCATTCCAGTGCTTGACCACTCTTTCAGAAAAGTAGTCTTTCCTAACGTCCAGCCTAAATCTACACTGGCGCAGCTTGAAGCCATTCTCTTTAGTTCTATCACTAATTACACAACAGAAGAGGCCGACACCCAGCTCACTACAACCTCCCTTCAGGTAGTTATAGAGAGCAATAAGGTCTGCCCTGAGCCTCCTCTTCTCCAGACTGAACAATCCCAGCTCCCTCAGCCGCTCCTCATAAGGCCTGTGCTCCAGACCCCTCACCAGCTTTGTTGCCCTTCTTTGAACACGCTCCAGGGCCTCAATGTCTTTCTCACAGCGAGGGGCCCAAAACTGGACACAGTACTCAAGATGCTGTAGTGCACTCAACATAGCACACACTGAGCCCCAATGAAGGGGAAGTGGAGAACATGGAAATAAAACGTAGGCAAACCTTCAGGCAGCAACAAAGGAAACAAGTGGAAAGAGATGAACAAGGTTTCCCTAGTGTTCAAATATTTGGCTACATGACTACAGCTCTGCTTAAACTTCAGTTATTTTAGAATTCTGGGTGCTCTTTCCTGGTAAACAGCTGCTTACCAACACAAAGAGGAAACTAGACTGGGTGCATTAGAAACCTACGAATGTTTCCAGTTTAAAAGTTTCTATTGTTCTTCCTATCTGTCTTAAGAAGCGCTGCACCACTTCTTCATTCCTCCTCATTCCCCTACTTGTTATATGTTATTTCCACAAAGATTCGCTCAGTGTTAGTATGGGAAAAAAAATAGTGAAAAGTCTAATGTCTCCCTCCACCTTTTTTTAATTTAGTTTTTATTTTTTTGGTGGCTGGTGGAAAGAACAGCTCCCTTGCAGTAAAATACTGGTAGCTAAAGAAGATGCTGAGAATGTGACTGAGCCACCGGCAGCTATTGTGTTTTTTGCAGCAGACGTGTTCTAAGTGCTGTTCAGGACACTGTTCTTACTCACAGGAATATAGTTGGCATTAATGTAGTCAGATCCCTCTTCTTCATTCATTGAAACTAACCGGACACGACTAAAGTCATCTGTAAAAGAAAATGAAAAAATCATTGGCTATCAAGCATGGTGCTCAAAATTAAACCTATGCAGTCTGGAAAAAAAAAAAATCTATTAAAAAAAAAAAAAAAAGAATGCTCGTAAGAGGAAATGGCTTGAAGCTTAAAGAGGGTAGATTTATGTTGGATATAAGGAAAAAGTCTTTTACAGTGAGGGTGGTGAGGCACTGGAACAGGTTGCCCAGAGGGGTGGTAGATATCCCATCCCTAGAGACATTCAAGGTCAGGCTGGATCAGGCCCTGGGCAACCTGATCTAGCTGTGCATGTCCCTATCCATTGCAGGGGAGTTGGACTAGAAGGGTCCTTAAAGGTCCCTTCCAACTCTAAGGATTCTATGATTCTATATCCACCAACAGAGAGCAACAGTTGCTTCAGTAAATACTACATGGATGTACCATCACTACTATTCAGCAAAATACATCTTTCGACTGCCAGTCTTTTGGGCTCCCTTAGGTTTCATTAAAACCTTAAGAAAAATATAGTAGAAACAACACTGTATTTCTCACTTCCTAACTCCAGTCTTGATAAACATCCCTCCAAAAACATCCCTTCATATCTAAAAGAAAAAAATATATCACCAGCTTCCCTCTACAGGCAGGTTTTAGAAAAGGCTTTTATCAGTCAGAAAATCTGTCATGATTCCCCTATTACTAAAATCTTCTTTCCCTCTCAAGGGACTTTATCAGTGCACGTACTTACATGGCAGGATATTTGTGTAGCGATTTTTGCAGCGATTCATGGGAAGATCAGCAGCAAAGTGAGGTATGTCAAGCCCAATCAGTTTTAGCTCCTGAGTTAAGAGAGATAAAAATGCCAAGGTCAAACTCACCAAGACTCTGAAAATGAATCTTTGTGAAGTGAATGCTTGCTGTTTGTACAAGACTGAAAATGTTCATAAAACACTTTATATACTGATGTTGCCAATGCACTGCTGCTATTGGAGGTTGTGGCTGCAGCCTGCTCTTCTCCACCTACATGTAGTTAACCAAAATAGTGTCAAATCAATAGAGTTGATAAATTCTTTCTGTGGCAGCCATTCACATCACTTTAAGGGCTTTCTCCTTAAGTGGCTTTTGGTCTTTTTTCAGGGGAACATTTGAATTTTTTTTCCAGACATTACATTCAGTACTTATACCAAACATATGATGCATCAAAAGACTTTTAACTGGCACAAGGGTATATCAGCCACCCAGAACAGTGGAAAAACCTGAAAGTCTCCTTCTTTCCCTTTTAAGCCTTTGGAAGTTATTTCAAAGAGTAGAGCTTTTTAATTTAGCATTTGTAAGCTGACTTAAATGCAGGTGAATTAAGATAGTGTACTTCAATTACTGTTAAAGGTTGCTCTTGAAGATATTTTTGATGTTTGTTACTTTCTCATTTCAATGCTGCTCCTTGAATTAAAGGAGTTGTAAAAGTCCTGAACGTAATTTGGGCCGCCAGCATGTCCTATATTTAAAGGAAGTGTATTGATCTGACAGTTATCTGGAATTGTACAGGATGAGACAGTGAGATAAGCTTACTAAATATACTCCTCAATGGTACCAAGTCCTGCCTTGAAATTCTGCAGAATGTGATGTGAAGCTGACCCACCTAACAACAGCACACATTGCAGAGCACAGGAACACACTGCACAAACCTAACATCTGGAAAAATGCTGGCTGAAGTATGGTAGCTAGGAGAGGACAGTCCTTATAGGTTTACCTCAAACTGCAGAGAAAATTTATAATCAGAATCTTTCGCCATATCCTTGATGTAGCCATCAAAATCATCCAACTGGACAGGGCTTTAAAAAGAAAAACACACAGAATTAAGAAAAAAAAAATGCATTAGGTTTCATTTCTAAATCCCCCTAGAACACTACATATAAGTGCTGCTAGTGCTGATGGGTTTGATGTGGGTTGGAAAGTTCAACTTTGTATTGTCTCACTGTGTTTCTGGCACCAGGGTGGCCACCAATTAATTTAAGTTCCTTGTGTGCCATGCAAAATGTTGTTTTCACAGGAGCAAAATATCTGGCAAAGTGACAATTTTACAACTCATCTGAGCTTTCTTCACAGAAGAACAGATTTCATATATAGGCTTTGTCCAGGAAAAAAATGTCAGAACAGTATTTTGGATGCCACTATTTTCTCTGCTGGCTTTGAGAGCTATACATATTTGTTACAGTGACTGAATTCCCCTCCTGGAGAGATACTGACTGAAAAAAGTGGCATATACCTATATAAAAGCATGCAGAGCTTCATCAGGTATAAATTAGCTTTGATTTAGTGATGCTCATCATTTTACACGCTTTTCCATTAGGTGAGGGTTTATCTTCAGTACAGGCACAACCTCTAAACACAGAGAAATAATTAGGCTAACACTCTGAATAACTGAACGCAGGTAAACAGCTTCCCTCACCTAATTATCATGCTCTAATTTACAAGCTACTGAGGCATGTACACAGTAATCTTTTCATTTACTTTGAGGCAATATGCCCAGAGGAACCTGTCTCATCACCACTTAATTACTCCTGTTTACCCGTTAACATTAATGATCTCCATGTTCTAACTACAACTGTAATGAGAACCTTATGTCAAGAGGGAAATAATACCAGGAACAAATGTATTCCAGTTTTTCATCATTTGCCATTTTTAAATAAGGATAAGCTCCATTGGAATAACTAAGTTGGATAATTGATCATTTCCCCAGTGACTAATTTTCTATCAGTGAGGAGCTGTTTTACAATTTATCTTTTGAGAAGAATTACTTTTGTCCAATTACTGTTTGCTTTCTGCTTTCAGACATCTATCTTAGGGTGTGTTTTTCAAGAAGTTTTGTACATCTGTAATTGCAATACCATTATACCATGTACTCCAATAATGGATGTTCAGTTTAAGGAGATTTTTTTTACTATGTAATTATTTAAATATCAAAGAAGTTACATACTTGGTCAGTTTTCTCTTCTTTAGTCCATTTTTACTCCTGAAAAAAAAAAAAGAAAGTAGTGCTTTTTCATCTGTTAAACTACCATGTATTCTTTATTCAAGTTTACTACTGGTTTGAGAACATATGCTTTCTGGTCAACGTGATAGTCAGGATAATGTTGGCAATAATATCTTGGGCATTTTTAAGTTAGTTGCAAAATTTCCATTGACGCTAGTGGGATGTATTTTCCATTCTGTGGCTCTGAAAAATACCACCTTATTCTCAGAATAAGCAGGTTCTCTGCAAATACTGACCCAACAGTATTAATGACTTAATGTGCTGGGGCTGAGTCATGAGCCTGCCTGAATTCTTGTCAGTGTTACGGCAGGAGTAGTAGCACCAAGGTGTCCCCAGGCTGCTCTATTCTGGTTCTACTGAGCTTGGAAATGATGCCAACAGGAGAGAGAAACTGCTAATGAGAAGAGCCTGTTGAGCAAAGAGAGAACACTTGCAAATTTGAGTAAGAGTGAAGGAGAAAGGAAAGAACCTCGATGCCATTTCTCACCCATCTCATAACGTGCTTATGATGATCAATGAAGACAATGACAAATATCATACTGACTTAGCTGGACTAAAGCTTAAACCTTAGATAATTTTAATTGATTTTTAACAGCTAGAGATAATTATTCCAGTCATGTCTTCTCAGGATTTATAAGGGATATAATTCACTAGTGGAAGTTGTGAGTGAGCTAAAGAGTTAAATGGTATAACCCATAACAAATGGACTTGGGATAAACAATAAAATATACAATAAACTAACCATCATCATGTGGATTTTTGGAGGATGTGCATATGTGTGCTCATGTTGTAGTTGCCACAATTAATTAACCAACAAGATTAAACACACCAAGTCAGCAACCTAAAATAGCTTTGATAGAGGTTTGAAAACAATGATTAATCCTGCTACACCAAGCACAGAGCACAAGTAGATTCTCACTTACTCAGAAGGAATTTTAGTGGAGTTATTTTTTTTTATTCTTGGGCATCAAATATCTATTTACTAATCGTATTATAATGATATATTTTAAATTTAATTCTAATAATAAAATGATTTCTAGATACCATTCACCACAGCTTCAATTGGTAAATTAAAGGTGAAGACTTTTAATTTCAAAACAATAAATAAAAAATACAAAAGGAAATTATTAAAAGTGGAGTATTTGTACTTTTCTATCCCTTCAAGATTAGAAGTGAAATAGTAATTAAAAAAAAAAAAAATCTAATGTCCAAAATTAAATTCTACAAAATGTTTAGTTTTCAGAGGAGCCATCAGCATCAGCAATTTTGTTAACTTGTCAAGGTACATTTCCATTTAGATGTGAAGCTTTGCTGACAGAGTTAAAAAGAGCTGTGACAACACAAACTTCACACTAACAGGGTAGTTTACTTTGCAAAGCACCATTATATACCTCTTCAATCTACAATGCTGTCTATACAGATACTGTTACCCATTTGTACTCATTCATGTGTACTACATCTGTATATAAACAAGTAGCATTTACACTACATCTTCAAACATCTCTTTTTTTCAAAGAAGTTCTAACATTAATTTATCTAGACTACTTAATGCATTTCTTTCCTGTTCACTGTAACTATGGTACATCTTTTTTTTAAGGTTGGGCAGAGTGCAGCTCATTTCAAAAGAAAAAAAGAATATCAAAGTGCTATTAATGATGGGACTTCCTAAGAACTCTTCTCTAAGGAACACTTCAAGAGGCAACAAAACAAATGACTGACATCCATTTCTCAGCAACAATTTCTTCTGCTTTGATTCTCTCAAGAGGCCTTTGTTTCTTAACACTGCATTTGTTCCCTGAATGTTCACGAATGTTTTAAACCAAAGTAAGTACAAAATAAATTCATTTGAAACATCATCTGGCGTTTCATCTTTTCTTCCATTTACCCTACAGATTAAAATACAAAGACAGCAATTCATCTTATCTCATTCAACTTCAGCTTCTTGAAAGGCAGTAAAGTAGACCAAACTGGGAAGTTTGATTGTAGGGGAAATTTCTGAAGAAAGACACATATCTAGGGAAGTGAGGTAATAGTAATGTATATTAAACAAGAACAGGTAAAGAGGGAGATGACTCTTTTTGTGTCTTCAATAGAGCAAAGAAAACTGTTCTCAGAAATCCCTATGCTAGAGATTTCTATGACTGCCTACCATGGGATTGGTGCTGTATGGTAACATGATGAGAAAATGTTTGGTCAAAAGCAAATCTTAATTTTTGTACACCGCTATCCCTTGGACTCCAGACCATCAGGAACATACATTTATTTTATATAAATGAAGCATTTTTGGATAATCGCCAATCTCTCTGTGTATTTTGTAAATGGTTCATAAAACACTTCTGGTTCTAAATAGACCCTGAGACTTTCCTGGTTAACTATAACTATATATATATATATTTACAAAGTAATTTACAAAGCCTTTATAAACTATGTATGGACAAAAGTGCTGAATACAGACACACACACACAGAGACACACACAGTGACCCAATTTTTACACCTGGGGAATGCTAGTTGGCATAGATTTTCAGTGAATTGTTGTTTCCAAAAGCAAAACTGCACTTTAAAAGCAAGTCATTTGACATCATACAGCAGAGGTGGGCCATTATGAAGCAATTTTAGTAAAAGAAAAGCAGCAGAAGGCAATGAGCAGATGAATAACTGGGACAGAAGAAGCCAGGATTTATAATGAAATGGCAAAAACTGCAAAGAGACATCAATGAAATGAATATGATTATCACCATATAATTAGCTTTTTAATAGCAAAAATGGGTTGGAGCATAAACAGACATAAAGTAGATGAAGCAGGGTAGCAAATACTTTGATACCCACATCCTCTCCAATCCATGTTCTATTACAAGAAAATTATAACTTCAAGAGCTTTGACCCATTTGAAAGCAAAAGTATCACACCTTTTTCATATAACAGAAATTAACATTGTTTACACATTGCATATGGAAAAACAAGTAAATCACTTACCAAGGATTAATATAAAATGCCAAAAGATAATCAGTCCAAAGGCATGAGGGTAGCAGAGTTAGGAAAGCAAATACACTTCTACGCCTGTGAGCATTAATAAATAACATACATAAAGATGAAAAAGTGAGGAGAGTTAGTAAGACAAACAAAAGTCAGGCGATCAGCAAATGCTATTCTAAAATTCAGCTAAATCCACAAAGGTTCTTCTTACTTACTTCATAAGAATATTATTAGCATCCACAGAATTTTTTCTCCTCAACCTTATGCCCTATATATGATTTTCAGCCATCCAATATAAAATTCTATTTGATCAGAATAATGTGTTTTTTGGTATTGATTGAGGCCTGTGATTCTAAATCAATATTAATTGATAAATTGTAAGCTTTTCAGAGTAAAGGGCTTGAGAGTTTCATCCACAGTTTTCACCCATTACTTAAGTGGTGCTAAATCTGTTTCCTGATGTTTGGAGCTATTTCAGAACAGACATTGTTTGCTTTAACCACATATGACTATGCAAGTGATCCTATGGGTATCAGTAGGAACATCTGTATCAGAGTTAAATTCAGATCATTCCAGTATCTCTTAATATCCTCAACTGAGTCAGATTTCTGAAAGCATTCACATAACATTTTGCATTGTCCTATCTTCAAGTACTTTCAACTCTCCTAGGTTTTTATGAAAATATCATTTCTGCTTCTCCTAGTCATGGTTTCCTTGCAGCTAATGGAAACTTGAGTACAAAATAGTACTAAATTTCTGCATTTCTAATTTATTTGCCAGATTAATCCAAGAACACAATCAGGCCAGTTCTTCCTTCTGGTTGAGTGGAATATAAATACTTTGCAACTGTGGAAAGCTCAAATTTCAACAAGAAATTGCCCCAGTAGTAGGGCTTCAGGCCAAATATACCCTCCTTTTTTTTTTTTTTTTTTTTTTTTTTTTAAATTTGTTTTGTTCTGTTGCATTGTTTTTTTTTCCATCAGAAAATTCAGTGTCCTAAAGGTAATATCATGCTTCCACAGCTGTTCTGAAGAGGAACCACAAAGTGGAGTTTCTTTTTTCAGTACTCCTGGCTATGATGAGATAGGTAGATACTGTATTTTCCCCAGAAAGCAAATCAACTACAATAATCTTCCAGCCCAGAATGGAAGACTACCCTCACACTGATAACTCTAAGTTACATTTCAAGAAGTTTTACTGCTGAGTAGAATGGGCAGTGCAATTTATGCTGGGCACCTTCCCCAGATGTTGGTAGGGATTGCATGGGCCAACCAGAAGCACAAGCTCTGCATGGAGCTTGGAGAAGCTGCTCCTTCTCTGCCACTTCCTCTGCTGAACAGCCAGCCAGCATTTCCTCCTGAAAATGGCTAACAAAACCAGTGACAGTGCGTTATTCCTCTTTTGTGCTTTGGAGACAGCAACAGCAAAGCAAAGCCAGCGTAGCACTTCAGCTTTCTGGTTAATCACATACTATAGTAGTTGTAGGATCAGCTTTTTACTGCCTGTCTGCTGTTTCTATGGAAATGGACTGAGGATTAAATAGTGCCTTCCATAAGCATAGTGTTGGTGTGACAGAGAGCTTTTCATTAGGCTAAGGAAAAAGACATGATGTTGCTAAAATACTCTTCTTTCCTTTGGGATATCCCACAGAGGTTTTCTAGAGCTTTTACCTCCTCTTGTTTACTGAAGCAGAACGAATTATTTAAGCTTGTGTCTTGTTCCATTGCCAAATCATCATGAGCAGTTTCTACCCTTGATCATATCACAGATCAGTATGCTTGCCCACCTTCTTGTGCTGTTTACAGTACAGATTTAGGAACTTCCAACTTTAAAACAACCGATTTTCTTCAATGTATGAAAATTACATAATTGTCCAATAAATAAAATATTGTTTTCCTGGAATTACATAGTTTTTCACCTACTACTGAGATGTACTGAATTTTGAATTTTATTTAATAGGGGGGAGAGATGCAGAGATTGATCAAATCCTGAAAACTGCTGAGCTGCATTTTTCTTAGGATTCAGTGGATATGCCCATAGCACTCTTACTAAGTCCTTGGAACAACAGCTAGCAAAGTTAGTTTCTTAATCATCTGTACCAGTCTGTGGGATCATAGTTCCCATTTGGCTGCCTGGATGGACAGTGAATCTGTAGCTGAGTAGACAACAGAGGCACACAGAACAAGAAGTCTTCACTTATCCTCAGAGAAGTTAAGACTGTATGATTAGGGCACGTTGACTTCAAATACTAAACATTTGTAAAGGTTTTAAGCAGGAATGCTTTCTAAAATTTATTTTTTCATAACAAAATTTATGTTTATATAAATAAATATCTATACACATAAATACACATCAACAAAATCAAGCAACAAGATCCTTCACTTACACGCCCAAACCTATTAATTAATTTCCTTTCCCACAAAAAAAGCCTTTTATGGTTTTAATAACATCCGTTTCTAGTTTAATCATTTGATTCAAGCTTGGATATTTAATTAACATGAGTGTTTGATCTTCTGCCTTCATCGCCATTAATACAGCCCAAGAAAGAGAAGCTGAAAGAGAGATTAGTTTCTACTGCTACAGCTGGCTGCTATTAAAGCTAAACCAAGCAAGTGAAGCTTGTTTAATATCCAGTTAATTAGCAGCACAGTAAGATATTGACAGGATTTGCTGGGCTTGTTAGTTCAGTTTGCACGCTTATTAGCAAAAGGCTTGTTGTGGTGCAGTGTCAACTCATTTAATTCTGTCCTTGCTGGGCAGGCTGGGTCCCATGAGATCATGGAAGTAGTTCCCAGTGCATCGCTTTCCAGATTCTTAGCTGTCAACAAAGCTGACCAGAAGCATTAAAGCAAGGCTCCTCCTATGTACTGGAATGGGGCAGTAGGGGGCTAATACTGTGTTTCTAGATATCTGTTTGGACTTGCCTTGAAAAACATGGGTCTTTTAATGGAGATTGATAATAAGACCGTAAACCCTAGATCAGTCATTAACACCCATATGATAATCAAATTAGGAATGAGAATGACCATACTGGTACCAGTGAGGTAGGCCTTAGAGCCCTTTTGCTTCTGTAAAAGCTAATCCAACTGACTATCTTTGTACAAATACTTCTCCTCAGCTGATAGTGTCAGTGATGGTTTGGAGTCCATAGTCAGTGCCTATAATCCTTGTAGGTGATTTTCTAGACTAGAAAAAATAAGTTTTTCTTCCAGTCATTTCAACAGCACTGAACACAAATTTGCAGTCAATATTGAGTTGGTTTACACTTGTCATTACATCCTTTCATTGCAAGGAAAAATAACTAACAGCAATTTGTGAAGATGGTTGTTGATTAATCATCTACAGACAAGCTTAATCCTGAAGAGTGGAAGTGCTGATGGACTTATAGATCAAGTTTCTACACTCGTGTTACTTTAGGAAATAAGTCTTCAAGAATAAATAAATAAATAAATAAAAATCTGTGCAATGAAACTTCAACATCTATGCAACTTTGTTGACATGTTATACATCATACCCTACTAAAAATACCAGCTGACAGTACACACAGTCTTGAGTCATCGTTCAAGAAATAAAATCCTGAAGTAACAGGAATAGTAATTTTATCATAAATAGGGACAGTGATCGCATTTAAAAAAAAACAAAAACAAAAACACACATTTAAAATTTAAAAGTCATATTTGCCAATAAAGCAGAGATGGGGAAAAACATAAATAAAAGCTTTCTTTTTAAACACTCACCAGTTATATGGTAGCTTTCCATCTCTCTCTAATGATGCAAAATTGACAAAGGTTCCAGCCCCGCACTCCCTGTTTCAGGAAGACCATTGAGTACAAAGTTACCATCTTAGGATTCACAATGCTTGCAATGATGCTGATTCAAGAGAGTACACCAGAAGTTTCTGAGATGTGCTGAGAGCTCAGATTTGTTATCAGGTCTGAGATAATGTGTGATAAACAAAACTGAAATCCCTTAATATAGTCCTCCAAAACCATTAACCTGAGATTAGGCTTTCTAATAATCTTTAGAAAACCTAAAAAAAAAAAAAAAAAAGAAAAGGCTGCTAATAAAAAACCCAAATAAGCCTCATCTTCTATTCAGAATTGGGATTTCTATGGTATGGCACTGAAACCCCTGGTGGCCTCAGTAAACACACGAAAGATTTACCTTTCTATACTAAATATTCCCAGTCCAACTCCTTTAAGGAAAAGATGTATATTTGTCTCCATTTGACAAACGCGTGGTAATTTTGAGTTCAGAAAACAAATGCAAAAAAGACTGAATTTCCTGAGGAACATCTCAGTGAATTTATCACAAGTTCATTATTTTCTGCTGCAAATAATAAACTGACTTGACTATTTTTCCTTCCTTGATTTAAACAAACAAGTGCTTGCAGCTTCACTGGATTTACTTTTTAATTTCCTCTTGGGTTTTTTATCTTCTATGGCTAGAAGCAGTGTTGAAGAGAACAAGAAACAGCTTTAGGCTGCCTGCATAGTAATTCAATAGAAAAGAAAATTAATTTAGATGGTATTTTCCCAGAGCAAGTCACATATAAAAGGAACCAACCACATAATATTCCCTGAAAGAAACGGCCTGAAAAATCTATGTGATGTGGTCGTCTGTTGCATGGAATATGTAGCCAAGACAAGATACATAAAATGTAGATTTTGCTAGGTAATCAAATACAAGATTTTATACACAAGGCTTTTATATGAAACAATTACAATTTGCTAGGAGAGTAAATGAATATAAGGTATACAGCATAGATTATAAAAGGATGAAGACTCCAGGAACCTTCCAGACCCAGCAGATAAGCCCCATACAGGGTGTTTGGAGTATTCTCCACTGTTTTCTTACTCCATAATGTAACTTACACAAAACTGAACTCTTACAGGTGAGATATCCAAGGAGAAATTGAATGTCTGTGTTCAGGTATAAATGATTGGTGCAGACATCTGAAGGAAAAGGTTCTGTAAAAAAGTTTTTCTTGTACAAGATAATTTTTTCCTTCATCTGTACAATAGAACAAATGGGAATAGTTAATGCTATAGGTGAACAGAAGGACTTGAGATCTTTCCTGGGTTTGTAGGTCTAGGTTTATGCATTCTGACTGCATGAAAAGGGCAGATCTAGGTAAGAAAATCTTTGTCCCATGCTGCTGTTCCCATAGGATGGAATCCCATATGAATGGAGAATCTGGACAGACAAAGACCAGGAGTTGGATGTAGGCTGTCAAATGTTCTAGGGACAGACTGTCAAAGCCCTGAGTGCACCCTTCCTCATCCTGCTGGTTTGGCTGACAGGGTTGAGGGCTTGCATGGCCCCTGAAATGGAGAATCATGGACCTGATGAACTAACCATGGAATAACCATCTTATCTGTTGATACAGAAAACCCCTGTTCAAAACCAAATGAAAGATATGCAAATCATTTTGATGTCATGATCATGCCAAGGTGCCTCAAACCTTAATTATCCTTTAAGTTCCTGACACAACCCTTCTGTATTAAGTGACCGCCCTTCTTATTTACCCAATTCAGCAAAGTTAAAATGAGACAAATGTTCAGGCTGATAGCTCAGGTCCAGAATGAAGGTAAATAGAATATATGATATTTCTAAACTTCAGCAAGGCCAATTTTGTGAAGGAATCACAAGCTTCTCAAGTATTACCCAAGTATAAAAACATCCCAAGTTAATAACTACTGACATAATGTGTTGTTGCATTCTGATAATTGTGACATTAAATTAAATTTGGACTCACCTGGCCATTTGCAGATGTTTCCTCCTAAGCACAACAAGGGTCACCAGCAGCAGTCCAATGAGAAGGACACTTAGAATGGCTAACACAGAGATTACCACTATGTTGGGATTCATCTCAGTGACTGTATATACAAACAACAGGATCTTGGTTATTTGATTGAGAAGAACTAATTTCCCTTAGCCCCACCCATTGTGTTATATTTATGAACTGTTCAGCCTAGAGTTTTACAGAGAGGAAAATATACTACCAGACATAAAAGGACGTTTTGACTAGTTATTGCTCTTACAACATTTCCACAGGGAAATGACTTCACTGTGGCATTTTGTGTCCTGATATTTTTATTTCTTTTTCCTTAACTGTCATACTTAATACAAGAGAAAAATGGACAAGGAAATACAAAATACAGATATTCTTCATTGTCTATGTCTCCAAAGCACAGTTCCAACTCTGAAGGTGTTCTTCAGCAATAGTCAATACCTTCTCTGATCCAATAGCAAAATAACAGGCAGACGCTCTGTTAACATATTGGGTTGAAGTAGATTGAATGACATCGGCAAATAAATTGCAACAGTATATTCTGTTTTAACTAAGAGCTCAAAACAACTCTCATTAACAAAATTTTGATTTATTTTTGTTCCATATTACATTTATCAGTTTTACTAGCATAAGAACAGATAACCTATTCCTCTCATTCCATAAGAAAACCTGTCTGCTCTACTTGCTCAAAATAACTTTACATCTAGAGAAGCATTTTTAGAATAGAAATCACAGAGCTTAAAGTCATTGAGCTAAATTTCAGGCATTGAATTCCATTATGGAGTAGTGTATGAAGTATAGGACACGTGACTAAAGCTATGACTTATGCTATCATTATGAATGGCAGACTTTAAATAAAAGTCCATTGTTCTGGACAATCCAACACTGATTTTCTTTCTTCAGAGTCAGTACAATGATAGACTTGATGGCAAGCCCAGATAGCCTCCAGTGGGAGTTATCCCTCTGGCATGTGATGGCTCAGGATACCCCATTCTCTCTTTTCCTTTGCTCTCACTCTGTCTTCACTTCCTCATTGAAAATTGAAAAAATTTTTCTCCTTAGGAGCTCATCAGTGTGATTTTCCTCGTTTCACTTGGGATTGGCTGAGGAGATGTTTTTTTTCCATAAATGCCATCAGGCAATGCACTGATGTTCAGCCTTGAAACTACAAACCAGGTCTCTACCTTCTAAAAGCCAGTAGAGAACTGAGCCACTCGTTTGCATCTTACCATCAAGGTTTTAATAAAAACTTTTGAAAGCTACTTCCCCACCCCTACTACATCTGTCATTTCTTCCATGACATAAACAATGTTTGGTTGCCAACATTGCTGAGACCAGCTTTAGAAAGCAAGAAGAAATTGTTGCTGCAGCTGAAGGACAAAGTAGAAAGGGAAGTGTTGCTTACCCATGGTGGAAACCGCAATGAAAGTGGGAACACTGGGGCTATTGTGGCTGAAGGTGGTCACGCTGCAGTTGTAGGAAGTGGCAGGAGTTAGGCTGGAAATAGTCACTACGTGTGAAGAGACAGTGACAGGTTCCTATAGACACGGAGAAAAGCACACAGTAGTTTGTGTCTACCATAAATGCAAGTACACAAATCACTGTTCTGCTCTCCTCCCACTTATTTGAAATGATAAAGTTCGATTTGGTGATAAAAGCAGTGCTTTGAAACCTAGGGACAGTAACCATGGCCTGCCCTCAAACATAGGCGCCTAGTCTGGCAGAAGAGGGGGGAGCAATAGGGGTGAAAGCAGCAGTGGGAACGGCATAGAGCATCTCAGGGAGCCCAGAACCCCTTGGGGTGGGCAGGAGAGTGCTTTGCAGTGGTTTGGCCAGGCACACTCGCAGTGGAGAAAGTGCTTCATCCCCTGGAACATTCCCAGAGGTAGACAGAAGCTCTCAAGCTCTGGTTACTAAGCCACACAAGTATGAGGAAAACAGTTATTTTTTATATAATAACTTTATGCAGTGTTTTAATTTCTACGTCCCTGGTTTTATAAATGCTGGACTGGAAAAACAAAACAAATACCATGTACGGATTGATTTAAAGATAGAGGTCTTTATGGTTCTGAAAACTATACTTACTGAGAGTAAGTACTTTTCTGTACTCCAGCAGACCAAAGGGTGGGTTGCAGATGCAATAACAGGAAACAGAGTGTTTAATGAAGTTTAATGAATAAACTAATTCCAGACACAGAGTGCAATGCAGCAAGCCCTGAGCACTGGATATTTTCAGTGGCCCGTTATCAGCCAGGGATTCCTTCTATATGATATAGGGTTTTTCTTGTAATGCAATTCTGATTTACGTTATGCAGATGAAATCACATGTGCATGAATGTAAGGGAAGAGAGTTGTATTCCCTCAGCTGAAAGGAGGGGCCATGATTTGGACTTGGTATGATGGTTTTTTCCATTTTCCCCTCTGGAAAGAATTAAATAAGTCAAACAAGAACCCAAGATGTTCAAACATGGAAATCTGTTGCTAGTTTAAAAATGGAGGAAAGTGACAAAAATATTCATGTAATTAGCATGGAAAATCACAAATAAAGGATTTTCACTGGTCTAATGAGAACACATCCATTTTTAAGGTTTAAAAAGGAGTCCTTCCCCTTTTGTCACAGAGACAGAAAAGACAGTGATGAATCTAATGAGAAGTGAACTGCTAATCTCTGTGCATTTCCCACTGCCAGATGTTCGTGTCAACAAATGGGAAACCACTGAAGTTCCTGCCAAACAGAACAGTCTTTTCCTGATGTTCTTAAAACATAATTGCTCAGCACTGAAGCCGCAAATCCTGTGGTACCTTTCTTGTCTAATCACATCATTATTTTGAATCTCTGCTAAGTAGATAATGACTTCATGATCTCTGTCTATTCACTGTGAAAAGAACAGGAATCTAAAATTGGAATCCAAACTATCCAAAAGATTCAAGTGCATCTGAAGATTTTCTCCTTTAGTCAGCGCCTTTCTTAACTTAAAATATTAAATATTTCACAGACTGAGTTAAAGAAGGTGTATATCTTTTTCGAGATAATCATTGGTCTGTGTGGGTTACTTTTTTATTTTTTCCTGAGTAATTTCCCATTCTGGGAAAGTCCAGATGACAGAATTTCACAGCACGCAATCACAGTGATTCACTAAGCCGTCAGCTAAACCACAAAGTAATCCTCATATACAATGCTGAATAGCAAGAAATCAAAACTAATACTGCTCCTCCTTTTCACAGAACAGCTTTACTAATCTAAACACTCAGGTGTTCATGTGTCCACAGAGCACACTTGTTAACATGGACAGAAGGAAAAAAAGATTATTTTGAGAAGTTGAATCTGGAAGAAAATGCCCCAAGAAAAAAATGCTTAAGTAGCAGCAACATTTGCCCATAAAGGAAATTTGAATAGCACTTAAGGTCCTATTTAATTTCACTTAACAGTCCTCAAAACCAGGAGAAAAGTAAGCCAGTAGTAATTAGATGCTGTATAAAAGAGCTCAGCCCTGTAGCATCTAAATATGTCTATTTTTCCCATTTCTAATCAAGCTACCTGAAATTTTTCCCATTTCTACGCACTGACATTCCCTTAGTTTTGTGGCTCTTCATGTTTTGCAGATTATAATAGAGTCCATTTCATGACTAGCCAAGGGTTGATACTGCTGCTGTCATGGATGAACATATCTTCTGTTCAATCTCATGAGCAAAATAGAAGCCAGCCTTAACACTGCAAAATAACAAAATATTTTAGCATTTCAAATACTTTAGCAGCTCAGTTCTAAAGGCTCTAATTCTGAACCACCTTATCACATTTGGTTGAAAACCAAAACCCTGGGCTTTACAGACAAATGCTAAGCAGCAGACAGAAAATCTGAAAGATGCCAGGCCTAGTCACAGTTTTAGAAATGAAAAGTAGAAAACAAAGAGGACCTCACATACCTGGACCTTAATTTCTTGATTGGATCCAGCTTGCTGGCAGTAGACTTCAAAGAAATCAGCCACTCCTTCTTCTACCCACAGCAGAGTGACAGAGGTCTGAGTCTTGTTGACAGCAAACAGTGACTTTGGAGGTGCTGGTTCTAGTTAAGAGAAAATGTCCTTCTATTAAGCTTATCTTGAAGTCTTTGTATAAACAAGAGAAAGCATCACATAAAAAGAAATGCAATGCCCGATGCCTTTCTATCATTCATTTCCTTCAGATATTTCCTGCCAGCAAAAAGCACCATTCCTCATGATGATAAGCAACCAATGCAAAATGGGAAGGCGATGTGTCTTAGTTTGTTTTTTTTTTTTAATTTAAAATGTTCTCTATTTGGGCAGTTGGATAGTCACTTCCTTTTTCACAAGCTCTTTAAGGGCAATCAGCATACTGTATTAATAGTAAAATGCTAACAGAATCTCTTTCAGGAGAAGATGTCTGCCCACCTATTAGCAAAACATTTGCACTGATAAGTACTTGCTTTGCAAGGCCTGACCCAGGAGATAATAATGAAGCAGCTCCCCCAAAGTGAGCTCTGTCTAGGTCCACTTAATTGCACTAGAGGAAATATTTAATCATTTGGCAGTTCAAATAAATCTTCTGGTCTGTGTTTTTTGTTCCAGGTTAATATTTAAGGGCAATTGGATCTTCACTCATTTCAGTTAGTTCCAGGAGTTTTCTCTCCTCACTGAATGTCCAGATCTCAGAGATTTTTAATTTATTGTTTTTGTACTTGTTGCTGTTGTTCTGTAACAGACTAACATAGACAAGGCATTGAGCTTCTCACATGACAAGGAGAAGATGAACCCTGCAATAAGAGGACTGTTGCCATCCTGAGGGCAGCAGGCTAGTGATGGCAGACTGTTGGGTGACATGGGGATCACAGAATCACAGAACAGCTTGGGTTGGAATGGACCTCAAGGCTCAGCCATTCCAACCCCCTGCCACGGACAGGGCTGGCCCCACCAGCTCAGGCTGCCCAGGGCCCCATCCAACTTGGCCTTCAGTCCCTCCAGGGATGGGGCATCCACAGCTTCTCTGGGCAGCCTGTGCCAGGGCCTCACTGCCTTCTGAGTAAAGAACTTCTTCCTTGTATGTAATCTAAACCTACCCTCTTGTAATTTAAAACTCTAACCCCTGTCCTACCACTACATTCCCAAAGTGTACTGGAGTGTGGGAGCAAGGTATGAACACTGCCCCTGAAGTAACTATTTCCCTCAGCTACCCACTGAGTCTCCAAGGTCACATTTCATCATTCTTGAAACTTTACTATGTATATCCTGCAGTGTAGGTAGAAAGGAGGAATAGAATGATTTAAAAATTAAGGTTACTTTAGAAATGAGTGGAGACAGATCAAAGTACGAGGAGGAAGAAGATCAAATGTCAAAAGGGATAAGTTCTGCTGGAGACATAAAGAAACCCACTGGGGACAGAAACATGGTGATTGATTAACACGGACTTTCAAATGATTAAAAATGCCATGCCTCCCGTGGAGGTCAACACTCAGTGCAAGGCCTGCCTGAGACTCCAGGAGCATTGGGAGCATGGGAAGGATATCTTGAAGGGCAGAGAAAAGCAATCCTGACTAACCAGGTACAACAACAATTTGTTCTGTTCTTTTACTTTTACAAATAATTCGTTACTCTCACTGCTGTCACAGAAGCCTGGATGTGATGTGTAAGATTCATCACAAAAAATCCAGCTCAAAGGACTTGCTCAAGTGATTATAGGTTTGGAAGAAGTATCTGTTCCCCAGACAATCAGATCAGCATTCTAGGGTTTGAGGCTATGAAGAGTACATTGGCAATGGGGAAAGAGTTGTAGAGAGCAGGGCAAGGACTGAGGCACTTCCACGTGGCTGCTTCTGTGTCATGGGGTCTGCAGCATAAACACTGTCCCAGAAAGACATCAGAAAGCATCTCTCTCTTAGTTACACCCATGTATCTGCTCCTGGATTAAGAAATACATTCCATCCCTCACTCCAGGTAAAAAATGGTCTCAGTGAAAATATGAGTTTAACATTTTGGCATCATCCCAAGCAAATCTTCCTTTTTGCCTCCAGCAAATGGCTTGCTTTTTCTACAAGTGGAAAGTTGCCAGAATGAAGCAAACATTATGGAGGGAAGAACATTTGGCAGGAGTGCTTAAGTGACTGCCAAGTGCTGAGTTGTCTATCACTTAGAATCAGTTCCCACTACTGCTAATTACAACTCCCAGTGCTCCCTCAGAAAAAGAGAGAAGGAGAACCTCTCGTAAAATACCCTTACAATTGCCCACTCAAAGTGCAAACAGGATAGAGGAAAGCAAACAACCCACAGAACTCTAGAGGCAATTTATCAAAATTGAATTGTTTCCGCTTTCTTTTTGTTGACAGTGAAAGAGCAAGAACAAAATAACTGGGAGAGTTCAACAAGAGTCTGCCTGCCCTTGCCAATTGCTGTTTTCCTTGTCCATAAGGAAAAACAAGAAGACACAGTTAGGATGCAGGGGGTGTAACATTAATAACACATGGCATTTATAGA